TGTCTGGTGTGGATGGTTACTGAAGGCAGTCAAGGGAGCTGTGAACAAGAAGGTTACGCAGATTAGGTGGTCAGCGATATGACATGATGGGGTGATCAGAAAAGAGGGCCCCATTGGAGGGATCATCCTGTAGGATGGAAAAGTTGTCTTCAATAGTCCTGGGGATAGAAAGTGTGTTAGGGTGGTAGGGAAGCACTAAAGGAATGTGGTTGTTATGGGAGGAGTTGCTGCTCGAGTTGATGGTCCGAGGGGTGTTTTTGGCTCGGGCAAGGGCCCTGTCAATAATACTGTTAGGGTATCCTCTGTTGATGAAAAAAAGAGTACATTTTGAGGTCTTGGTTCTGGAAATTGATGTAGTCCCTGCGTTGTCATTGTAGCTGAATGAACTTTGAAAAAGGGAGAGAGTTTTTAGTGTGTTTGGGGTGAAATGAGCTATGCAGGAGATAGTTGTGTGAATCAGTGGGTTTGTAATAGACTGAAGTAGAGAGTTGGGGGTAGTTAATGGAGAATTTGATGTCTAGAAATGGAAGAGTAGTGGAAGATATGTTAACTGTATATTTGAGGGAAGGGTGGAAGTTGGTGAAATAATGCAGAAAGTGCTCAAGCTGGTCGTTAGAGCATGTGGCAGCACCAACACAGTCATTAATATACAGTATCGCTTGTAGAGGTCAGGGACAAAGCCATTCTAAGAAGCGAAAAAGTTTTCTTCTACCCAGCCGACATAAATATTGGCATAGGTGGGTCCCATTCTGGTACCCATGGCAATTCCACTAACCTGTTGATAAAAAAAGGTTGTTGAATGAGAAAGCATTCAGTATGAGAACCAATCTAAATACTTTACTTGTTTACCATTTTTTTTTTTAGAGAAGGGGTCTTTTATAAAATAAAACATGTACCCTGACTGGGAATTGAACCTGAGATGGTCTTGGTGGTAGGCAAGCACTTTAAGACTGTACCAAAGCATAACTCAGTATAAAATATTACAAAAATTGAAAGCAAAACATAGTTAAAATGGACATGTCACAATGTTTCCAAAATAACCACAAGTGAAAGAATCCAATAAATCGATGCAAATGTTTACAAAACTATGTAAATATATTGTATTTAGATCCATAAATATATGACAATATTAATATTGTTCAGAAACTTTTTTCAGCTACCAAATGTCTGTAGTTACATGATTTAACATTAATATTCCCTATTAACTAGATGTAAAAAAATAACTTACATTACAACTATAACAGCACATTGTGAAAACATTTCTAACACATAAACAAGTTAATCAAAGCATTGACACGTTATTTAATTGGAATGAGCATACCTAAACTCTCAAAATAACCAAGAGCTAAAAAATCAAGAGTGACCGAGCCAAAGACTTTGATGCAGAAAATGTTTTTTGAAGAAGATAGAATACCATGGTGTACCACTACCAGCTTTGCAGAGTGTATACAGAATTATAGAGTTTTAAATTAATGACTTTCAGAGACATTCTACTTGTTATTTTTATTGGCAGCTGCTAAGATTTCCATTTAGTGACATAAACATTAATTGTATTTAAAGATGCACAGTAGATATTAAATAAAGCAATTGTTTCACTAACATACTACAAGAATGACCTATCACTCATCATTGGCCAGTCAACCATATAGCAAAGTATGTCACATTGTAATGTTGTACATCTAATGCAGCAATGAAAGTTAACATGTTGTGAGGGACTCCATCTGTAAACACAGATTAAAATTTGTTTTTGGGAACCCCAGGCGCACTGAGCCAGGCTCTCCTATCTGTGGCCAGTATTCCCTTTACCTGGAAGAAACCTGTTCTATTGCTACACTCGGACCCCTGGCACACCCAATTTGTCTCACCCTTCCATGACCTGTCTTCTTGATACTGGAACATACTGTACATGTTCCCATCTTTTCTGAGACCTACTGTACTTGTGTGCCTTACCCACTGGTACCCAGTTTCTGATTTTAAACTGATCTACTACACTGTCATGACTACAGAGAATTCAGACTAATCCATACTAAGGAAACCACTAAATTCTCTGTGTGATTCTGTCTTTTTTCAAACCTAATCCATAACAAAAATCCTTGCAAGTTTTCATTGTCTCTTTCTATCTTTTCCAAGCCTAACTACTGGCTTGCACTAAAGTACAGGACTTAAACTCACTACACTTCAGGTTACAACCAACACACTCTCCCTCCCTGCACTGCAGGAACTTAGACACAGATGCCCTCTGCACCTGACTGCTGTTATAATGACTGCTGCTACTCTTGAGGAATGTCTCACGGGGCCTATCAGCTTATCCCTTTTCTGCCTGTTAAATTCCATTCCACAGGAGTCCAATCAGCCAATCAAGGCATGTGTGTCCAATTTACTACAGAGAAGGAAGACCCTTTGCCTCAGCTTGCTCAATCAAATAAACAACAAACGATTTTTCTACAGAGTGTACAGTGTAACATTATTTTTATACACTTATATTCTGAAGCTATAATACTGATTATAGTACTTGTGAAAGCCATCCTGGGATAGATGTTGTGACTGTGGTTTGTCTTATGTTATATACTGACCTGAATTAACTATGTTATGCATCTTCTGTCAGTAAGGAACCTTCAGGCTATATCATGAACTTCTGCTTAATGGGTCACATTAACCCATTGCTACTAACCTTTTACTGGACATAAAGTATATGGCTATATATATATATACTGATTGTATTCTGTATAATGGAGATATATGGTACATAAAGTAAATGATATATAGTATGGTGTAAGATTTTTATGGTTCATTGTTTTTAATTCTGGGATTGTTGTTTTCTATTGTAATCAACCATTTGATTGACAGATTTAACATCTTGTCCAAACATATTGGAAGAGAGTGCACTGGCAAGTTTTGTAACATGCTATTTTACTCTTAACACTATTCAAACAGTTAGCCTGTAAAGTCACAATATTAGAGCACAATAAACAGGATATGAAACAAAAATATAACTGTTAAAATGGTACAAAAAAGCTAATTAACATTTTCAGTTCACAGAGGTTATGTAGGGTTTTAATGTACTGTACAATCAGAAATGGTGATGGTAAATTGTAAGAATATTTGGCAACTTTTAGGAATCGATCAAACAATAATTCACAGTCTCATACTGCACATGGATTCTAAATAAAATACACAGTTTATTGAAATAAAGCCAAAAACATTCATAACAAACAACAAATGTAATAGAATGTATTTGAACACATCATCAAAGGGCTGATCATTCACTCAAAAATCAGTTAATAATTTCAGAGTTAAATACACATTTTCTATAACATGCATTATGGTCTACCTCATAAGTCTTATCAGCGTCATATAATTACATCATTTTTATATCCTCAAACACAAGTAAATTTGTATTTGCATGATTGATATAACTCAACTCTAGAGAATTCAACTCTAGAGAATTAAAATGTAAATCATTAAGTTTTATTAACAAAGATCCATTGGCCAAACCTCCTTAATGAGTTAAACTTACCACTGAGAAGACAGAGCTGAGCTAGATTGGTCCTTGGTCTGACTTGGTGGGTCATCTGTGCTGGGAGGGACCCAATGCAGGGAGGAGACAGAGACCTTTGCCTGGTGTTGCTGGGTAGCTCTGCTTTGGCAATTAGGCAGCTCTGCCAAAGTTACCATCTTGCTAAACTCCAGTCTTTATGAACTGTTTGTGTACAGTTTGTCTTCTTCATATCCGTTGCCAAAGGGAGAACATGGTTTATCATAGCTATAGTTTACATCTGAATATAATTGGATATTTAAAATATCAACAAAAAGCAAGAGTCAAATTTTCAGAAATAATATCTTGGAAATAATTCTGTACTTTACTGAATCACTTTTCCTCCTGGTGTTTTGGAGAAGTTTTAGTTCAGAGTCAGGCTGCTCTAGTTATGTGGTTGGAAAAGGAGATTGTGAGTAGAGTTGGAGAGAGAGAGAGAAGCAAGTGAATTATCCAACAAAAATGAGTTGGGTTTTCGCTTATAAGGTACAGCATCACAAGTTGGTGATTGGCTGAGATGCTTCCAAGTTTGGTTCTGACTCACCTTGCAGATCCTAATTGGTAGATCTTCCTTTGGGTGATGAATACTTAGACTTAGACTCGTGGTTTTGAAAACAAAACAGACTACAGACTTGATGAAGTCAACATATATCATTACACCGTTTAGGTATGATACAGCTTAAGGATGTTTCTTATCTGATGGGCATATTCCTCTGCATTTAGAGAGAGGCCCAAGCTGCCTTGGTCAAGGTACACAAAGATTATTAGAAATCTTTAATGACACCTAATTCTATGTAAAATAATATGTCTTGCCCCTACAGAGTCTAAAAACAATGGGTAGTTTATCCAGTTGTATTCCCATCTTCTTGGGAATAACTCTGGTTCTCATAATTCTGTACCCATAAAGAAAGGATAAGGAGACACATGGACAGAAAAAGACATGGAACACAGAGGGAGACAGAAAAGGACTGGAAGAAGAAGAATGCCAGGCGACTTGTTTTAGAGATCTTACTTGTTTTCTTGCTTAGACATTTCTAAGGATTTCAGTTTACAGAGTTAGAAGTTTGGATTATCTGGGATGGTATAATGTACAGTAAAACTCTGAGACTCCTTGTTCTATAAATATAATTGTGTTTTATTTGTATTTGTGTAACATTGTGTGTTATTGTGTGTGGTATTGTTAATATATATTTGTCTGTCCTTGTTTGCCTCTCATTTAGTTCTTTGTTTGCCAGAGCTGTGCCAAACAATAAAGAAAGTAGATGCCTCAAAAATATTCTAACCACTTGGGTATATCTTTGACATTAGGGATATTTTTAGTAACTGTATTTATTTTAATTATCTTATTATTTCACTCTGTTTTATCTTATTATTCATTTCTGTTTATTTAAACCCTTATTTTCAACATAACTAATTTGAAAGAATAACGATTTGTCATGGGCTTAAAGAATAAAGAAATCACAGGTTGTACAAAATCAGAACTTTATTCAACATTTTAGTCCACATATCAGAGGATACTAAACATTCCAAAAAGATGTATTTCAGGTTTTGAAAAGATGCAGATTTACTCACATGCATTTTGCCAAGAAAATCCCAATCACCAGACACAACCATTAAATTTGTCAAAAGACAACAGCAACATGAGCTATACAGTGTGAAAAATGACAGTAAATAAGTGATGATGACTCCCAGCACAGGTACTGTATGTTATATAGAGATACATTTTTATGTATTTTGTAATATAAGCTTCACGTTGTCAAGGTTGAAACCATTTTAGCACCATTGTAGAATACATTTTAATTTCTATTTTCAAGTGGTTTTAACTGGCTGTTACATGAACTACAATTGTACTTACAGTAAATGGAAGGCAGATGGATTGACTTATGGGCACATCAATTTCTATTGTTTATACCTGTTTTTGAATTACATTCTTATCTAGAACAGCAAGGTATGTATACTCTTTTTGACAAAGTTGTTACATTTGTTTTAGCTTTCTTTCAAACCAAATGCATCTCAGTTTCTATCCTTGATAAAGTTAAGGAGGGTGAAGTTTTTGTTTGCTGTATCTTGGTAAGAAAAAATGGAGAAGGTTTGATGCTGAATTTAATCAGCCTTCTAACTTGACGAATGCAGGGGGAATTTTTGGTCTTACTCAAAGTCCTCTGTTGTTTGATAAAACATGGAATCACTTTGTTTTTTTAATGGATTTAGCACCACTTGCTTAATGCTTAAAACAAGTAAAGGTATTTATTAATAGATACTGTATATTCGCATGAAATGGACAATTTGATTATTTTGCTTATTTCACAACATGTTGAAGTTGTTAAGAGGCCATCTGGATTGCATGTCAAGAATCAAGAAACAGGCACAGAATAAAGAACAGCAAGTACAATTATATTTGTTATGTCCTGATGAAAAGATCAATATTAATTTACAAGAAACAAACAGGTCCAATGTCAACTCCAAATTCCTGGTCTGTGTTACCAATATCCATTGGTGCAATATCCACAAGAGGAAGATGAATTGTTTTGCGAGTTTTGTACTTAAAGATGGTCTTACCCCATTCCCCAGTGTGTCTCTATAAAAACAGAAAAAAACAAAAAATATTTAAATGACTCAAAAATGTATATGTATATATAACCAATACTTTTGTTCTTAGCTTTTAATTTTTTGAGATTTATACATAAAGAAAGATAAATGAATAAGCTATTCTAAACTATTGAATATAATTAAACATATGAGGAAAAGGTTAAATGAACATGAAACATACAACTTATGTACTATACATGCAATAAAAAGAAATAAAATGTGGCATTGTATTTAGGACCAAATATAAAGCAATCTAAACAGCTATAATATATTAGGATTTCCACTGCACCCTCTTCTACTATTGTTTGCTCAGCAACCCTAAGTTAAAATATACAATGCATAAAAAACATATTCAGTACATTTATGTCATTCTTAAGCATACAATCCTTACAATTTCAATAAGTATGTTTTTTATGTACAGTACTTGTGGACTAGAAATAATTACTACTTGTGTTTAAACTATTTTTTGTTGCAGTATTTTTTAACTTAAACACAGTCATGCACACACTCACATCAGTTTCAAATTTACAGAAGCTAATTAACATACCAGCAGGTCTGTGAGAGGAAATAAGAGCCCTTAAAGGACACCCATGCAAACATGGGGAGAAAATACAAACTTCACACAGATAGCAGACCTGGAAATTGGTCTGGAAATGAACCCAGGGTCCCAGCAATACTAATTACTGTCTAATTACTGTGCCACCATGCTGCCCAACTCAGGACACCCTAATATACGTAGTCCTTTATATTTTAGTTTATTTAATTCTCTTTTAATAAACTAATTAATTGAATATCATAATACTACTCAGTACCCATCTATTTGGTGCTAAATGTGAATTGCTCATTTACATAAAATTAAGACAAACATGCAGTTTATTGTAACCATTTCAGTAAATAATTAAATGTTTATTTGGTTCACCCTAAACACTTTAGTTAATTCCACATATAACAATAAATATGCTGAATTTATCATTGAATCATTGAACTATGCCATGCCACTAGAATAATAGATTTAAACCCAAAAGAGGTTTTTAATAGAAAACAATTTTACATTTTACAAATCACATACTATTTTTGTGAGATAACAATTAAGAGTTATAATTACCTCTTCTTGGGGTTTAGTGTTAAGCTTTAATTTTTAATAAAAAACAAATACTCACAGTGCAGCCATCCTCTTGAACAGTGTATGTCACTCTGCTACTGCCCTCTGCCTTTATTTCAGCATCAGCAGAACTTAAAAATTTCAGGGCCTTCTTCACATTGGCTGCCTCGGCGTCCATATATGCAATGCTGTTCTTACAGTGGTATGTAATTTCCTGAGAGGCTGAGGTTGACAGAATGCGAAGGAAAGCCAACTGAACCTCAGAAACTCCTTCTGCAAGATCAGCTACACCATAATTGAACTGTAAATCAAAGTGTAAAAAAATGATTGTAGGTGCAATTTTAAAAAAAGTCACTTCACAAAGAACAAATCCACAAATGACAAAATCACAAATCCACATTACACAGTACTTTTTTTAGAATTGTATAATGGGCAGCCAGTTGACCTTGGACCCCTAGAATATTTTTCTCCCTACAGAGGAGTTTTTGGTTCTTCTCCTCCGCTGTCTTCTGGCTTTTTCTCTCTGTATTGTAATGTCATGTACTGTCACACAGCTTTGTTAAGTGCCTTGGCACAACCTTGTTGTGAAAGGCGCTATATAAAAATCAATTGAATCGAATTCAATTGAAATTAAAGTAAAACAAAAATAAAAGTAAAAGAACTGTAATGTATTTATGTGTAGATGTGAAGGCAGTACTAATTCACACTGAATCACTGAATACTTACTGTGTGGCTCCCAAAAATACAATTTTCTGTTTATTATATTTTTGTGTCATCTATATTTAAGGTCTGTTTTTGCTGTTATTTTCTAAGGCTTAGTAAAGTCAGTAAAGTAACACAGGATTCATTTAATAAAGATTTTATTCCAAAATACTTGAAATATAGTCAGATGTGAAAGCTTTTTCACTCTACTAACTGGATAATTCATATGATGCATTGCTTATAAACCTATTGTTAAAACATTATATCTATTTCAAATAATTATTAATTAGAATGGATGAACAATCCTACAAATTTTAGTTTGTCTGGTTTCTCTCAGTCTCACAAATCCCCTTGCTATTTTATTGCTTAGGCATATCTTTGATGTGAAAATATTTATAAATATGTTAATTATATGTGCTGGTAAACTCAAGTACACATTTTCATTTTCATTAAAAACTGTACTGCTTTAAAGACAAGGGATATGCAATATATTCTGCAATGACTTGTGAGTTTTGCTGTGATTGAGAATTACCTGGAATCCCCCTTCCATGGACTCTCCAAACCAAACTGGCTTTTTCAAAGGCACAGGACTGTTCCACCAGTTTCTCCGAGGTACTTTATCTGTAGTGGCGTTTACACAAGTCTCACCAGTTTCCATATTGCAGTATACCTTAATAGCATCGATTTTGCAGCCTTGGTTAGGATCAATCCAGTATTCTCCTACATAAACAACCAGGGACAAATAATGACAAGTCATGTACTGTAAATAATTTAATATAAATGTAGTGCTCTCAGGTTCACGTGGGTATGTGCCCTCACCGCTGCCGCCTCAGGTCAGCCCCCCCACCGATGGGGACTCGAACCTGGGCCTCCGGCATCACTCAACAGGAATCCAGCCAGTTGAACTAAAGGGAAATCTCCCATCAGCCTAACGGCTGTAGTCCCTGCTATTCACAGGGACCCTGCTATTCGGCTGGTAAGCCGGCTCGAACAACCTTCAATGATGGCCGTATGTGTTACATTAAGATTACTTGCTGTTTAGACAAACATGTGAGCCCCATTGCAAAATAATGGAACTTAGTCCAGTGTTTCTCAACTTTTTCCATCCCCCAGCACACTTATATAAATATAAAGATTTTGCAGTGGAATGCCCCCCCCATACACTAACACATCACAGGACCAAGGACATAATTATTGATACTAGAAACAAAACTTCTACCAATCAGGGTTTGCCTCAAACTACATAGTCACTATATCATGGCAGCAAATTAGAACAGAAACACAGCAATCTTGCTCAGTCGTTCTCAGACATTCAACCTCCTTGTTTTTATGTACTGTACATAGGATTGGCCCACATCACATATAATTCCCATGTGACTATAAATAATATTTGTTCTTTGTTTCACAAATGTGTTCCACTGCACACATGTTGATGTCTGAAGACACACCAATTAAGAACGAATTAAGAATTAATTAATGTAAGCATCTCTATCTTTTTAGTAAAGACGATAGAAGTACAAAGGCTGGATCTCTTTGGCAGCTTTGTTGTGTGTTATCTTTTTTATGTTTGGGGAGTAACAACAATATTCTACATACAAAATAAGCATAAAAACAATTACATACCGCTTTTAAATTCTGGATGGCAAAATGCTAAATCTCTGCAGTTGCGTGCTGGATTCTTTCTTGATCCATCTGGAGTTATGATATTTTCAATTTGTGTGTTGATGGATTTCAATGTAGCAGCAATCTCTGCTACACTACCAATTCCTTCAGCAGCCTGGTCACCGATGAAGTAAGGCGGCCAAGATTCTCCTTTGTAGGGACCTGGTATGTTTGGATCACTACAGCAGGGGCCTGGAGGGCCAGGGGGACCAGGAAGACCTTGTGCCCCAGGCAAACCAGAGTTGCCCTGTTGAAATATAACAATTTTAGTCTTTGTACATTATTATGTGATGAGTCTTACATACAAATTTTTCATGGGTTACCTTTTCATGCAATTTGTATATTATTTCAGGACAGGATTTAAAACTGGAAATCATGCAAAGTAGCATAAAGTCTTACCGCAGACCCAGGTTCACCAGTTTGACCTCTTGGCCCAGGGGGTCCAATTGGACCTGGATATCCACTATGACCATCTTTTCCAGGAGAGCCACTAGGACCAGGAGGGCCCTAAAGAAGATTATCAAAAAGATGAAATCCTAATATAGGATAATTTGCATTGTTTATTCGTTTCATTGAGAAGGCCCTGGTTAACACAAGAAGGGCCTCCTTTTCACAGTTTTATTTTTTTTTCTATATTACTATGTGTTTGACTGTTTTGTAATTTATTGATACCAAAACTAAATGGAATCAATAAATTGACTGATTATAAAGAAGACCTAAAAAGTCAATTAGAGTGAGCTAGGAATGAAACATTGGTGTCAACCATCTCTAATCAAATTTGCTAAACCTCTTATCTTGGAGGGAGAAGTATAATAAGGGAAAAGATACAGTATCTGTCAGAGATATCTCTGAAATATGTCCATACAAAGTAATGAAATAACGTGCTAAAAGGTGATTGGTTGGTCAGACATCAGCTATCATATCAGAAGTATGGTTATACAGAAATATCTTTCTCTCATTATTTCAAGGAATCAAAGCAAGACACTGTCCGTGAGTTCTACATTTCTTCAGATCAAACACACCCCACTTTTCCTGTACAGAGAAAAGCACCTCCTCTGTACGTTCATGATCATGAGCCTGCAAACAGTACTATTGATTTGACCTCATTCCTGCAATCTACCTCATTGTATAAATAGGTACCAACTTTGCTGGTATCAACCCTGCAATGTACAGTACTAGCATGCCTTCAGGGAAAGTCACATACTGTATGCTCAGTTTGCATAACAATACAGAAGAGGGGACAAGCTATAACTTGGAGTCACTATGCTCCAGTTTGGACGTTAAATATCTGAGCTTCACAGACCATATGGATTCAACTACTGTTGGTGAAATACTATTTTTGCAATGACACCTTCACAGCCATGCTTGACCTGCATTCTTCACTGTAGAGCAAATCAGTTTTATTTTGGTTTTCTGACTGTCCTTCCCAGGACATTTGGTAATGCTGCTACATCTACAATATTTCTTGACCTTCCATTTACACTGACAATACGTTTTTACATGTCTAGTCTTGACTGGTGACATTTTGAGAAATAAGAATTTCTGCTACAATGTCTCTGCTTGGCTAAGGGAATGTGGTGATCTGTCACACTTTAATGTTTTATCCAGTTTGTCAGATGTAAAGTATGTTACCAAGACTGTAAAACGTATGATACTCCTGCTTTTGTTTATATGACCTTATACTCCATAGTGGCCACTTCTTGAATTTTAATTAAGAATCCATGACAAACTTTAAAATATTATTTTTCCACTTGAGGCCAATACGAATATAAGGATCTATGAAAGTCACTATGGTGTCTCATACAGTACCAATTGTAAAAAATGCAACTTTCATATACATAGAGTAAATTAATGCCTGCAATATATTATTTCTTAATATAGTCTTAGAATATTCAAAATTTTACACATTTAAAATACACATTCCTTTTTCATCCTTGACTGTTCATTCATTTTCAGCTATGCTTTTCTAATTAAAGTTTTTGTACTTACTTTAGGACCCATAGGTCCAGACGTACCAGAAGGGCCAGGTTCCCCAGGTCCACCCTTGTAAAAGTAATGAAATACAACAGTTTATAACAGATTCTGTTAAATCCAAGATTGCAGAAAAGTTATGTGACCTATCAGCTTTTCATGACAATTATATCATGGCCATATCATATAATGATATCGCCACTTTTCATACCTCTATTATTTTCGGTTTCAGAGAATAAAACCTCTCAAAACTCCTCAAATGTTGTCAAAAATCTAATATAGCTGCCAAACCATGTTGCCTGACTATGTAACAGTTACTGTGATGCTGCTTCTCATTAGCTTTAAGAGTCATGCAGAGATGATAGATTGAAAAGGTGTAGATGGGGAGGCAGTGGGGATTTGGTAGAGATATGCAAAAGGAAGACCTGGGTGTGAGACTTACATACAGTACACAGGCAAGTGGAAATGTGCAGATTAGAATCTAACCTTCCTCGTTAACTTCTGTTATGAATTCATAATACTTCATACTGTAGTGCCTTATCACTTACAGGGGGACCTGGAATACCAGGGTTTCCAGGGAATCCTCTGTGACCTTTAATTCCTTTTTCACCAGGTGTACCAGCCTCTCCCTTGTCTCCACGGGTGCCTGGAACACCCTGGTCATAAAAAAAAAACAGAAAGTAAAAGGATTTAGGTTTTGATGCTTTAATAAGGGCTTAAGAAGAAGAATACGTTTTAAAACTTACAGGACGTCCTGGAACACCAGCCGGCCCGGGTGATCCAGCTGGACCAGTATATCCCTAAGGTCAGAAAAAACGAGACTTACAAAGAATAACTTAAGATTCATGCAACTTTTAAAGTAAATTAATATATAAAATAAATTAATGTGTGGTATAATGCTAGAACTGTAGGTATGTTTTACATTTAGTGATTGAATTTAAATGAAATGTGGATTTACTTCATGAAACTAAAATCAGCATTTATTTAAGTTTTATTTTAATATTGAAGAGGAAAAATGCTTATAAATTTTGAAGAATCCTGTATATTAAAAGGGAGGTTCTATATATGCTAAAACAATAAAGCTACTAATAGATTACCTGCGATGCGATACTTTATTAAAAGAGATTGTGATATTTGGAAAAATAGATGGCCAGTTCCACTCAGATGTTGAAAATTTTCTGGGTACTTTTTCATTTACAGGCAGCACGATACACATTTAGACAGAGAACGTCTTAAAACGTCTGTCTTCATAAGTTTAATCTTATCAAATGAATAAGTCTTGTTCCCACAACATATACTGAATGCATGCTGTTTTTGTTCATTTTATTCAATGTAATTTATTTTTCAGAATTCAATGAAAAATACACTCTGGCTATGTTCTAAGTGCAATTACTGTAATACTGTAACAGTAAATTGCATAACCTAAATATAAAACAATCAAGAGCATGATAGGGAATTAAATATCTATAAACATACAGTATGTATGTATGAACTATTTATTAATTCGAACTACAGTAAGTGAGATTATGGGCATGAAATATCCTATTGAAATCTCCTGATAACTCACAGGTTGTCCTCTTTCACCATTTTTCCCAGATTCTCCAGGAGGTCCCTGGGGCCCTGGAAGTCCTGGAGGGCCGTTATTTCCTGGGTGACCATCTTTACCAGTATCTCCCTGTGGAAACAAAAGAAATGTATGGTAGTAAACTAAACACAATAATTTGAAGTGTGTGTCTTAAGATTTCATTTGTGCAAAGCCATTGCTTTGGGTGCTTTGACCCAAAACTCAAGTTTTTTTCTTGAGGTGTTTCTGTAGGCCTATAGTAGATGTTAGAAATCAAGATTATTTTATATATCCGAAACATATATTTTAGCGTACTAAAATAGTTTGTTATTTTTAAAGATTTGTAAAATACCATGGAACAATGTCCAGAAAGCTGCATTCTGTAATGTCTGAGACATTCAATTGTTAGAAGAGACAACAGGGAACTAAAAATATCTGCAGCTAACTCAGGAAATGGCAGCATATTGGAAAAACGGGTGACCCTTCTATTTTAAGATTTAATTCAGCAGTTGTTAAAAGCTATTTTTATGCCACTTTTTTGTCTCTTATGCCATTGTATATGATTGTTTTGTATTCTGTTTCTGTTCATTTATAGGTTTCCATAAACTGCATGAACTCTGTGACCCACTGAGTTTACCAAACTACTTGTGCAATCATTTGATATTCTTTGATGCATCCAACTTGAAGACCTGTCAATTCCTGAGGCATTCCAACTTTGATTCTGATGTTTTCTTTTGCACATAAAATGCATAATTCAGTTCAATTTAATCCTTCAGACTGAATTGGGCAATATAAGATATTTAACTTTTTTCACCTAATATACCGCTTGTTTTTATTCTCTCTATATTTTTGGATCATTGTTATGCTATCATTCTGTCTACTTCACAATTTAGCCTGGTATTGCCATCAGTATTCACAATCACAAATAAAGACAAATGAGACAGTTCCAGAGGTGACCATGTATGCCTGGACCAGGATTTATAGATGAGGTGGTATTCTTTGGAGCAGTTCTGCAGTTGCATTCTTTCTTCACACATTAACCTTTTCATCACTTAAGTAAAGATCTCTACCCTATACCTCTACCCTCTTACCTCTTAGCAAATTCTAAAGAATGGTTAAGGTAATGAGAGGTAGCTTGACCTTGACAGTCATCTCTGGAACTGTAAAACTGGAAATTACATTTATGAATATAATTAATTATTTTATTTTATTTTATTTTACCCTAACAGTACCCTGAATAATCAAACTAGATACTCTGTTCATTCACAAGATAAAAAGACCAAATAATAGTGTAAAGCTATGTTGTGGGAAATCTTGCTATGAGACTGGCATTTTCCATTCAGGTTTGAACTAAGGTTTACACCTTCATTATAGCATAAATCTTTGTGATTACATATTTTCTTTCTGGGAAGAGTGAGTACAAATTAGAAACTAAGAAGTGTCATACCTTAGGACCAGGACTGCCATCTCGTCCAGGAATTCCATCAGTGCCAGGTATACCCTATACGAGAAATAAATACTTTAATTTTTATTTCCTTGATTAGGGAATTGAGTAAGGTGCAACATGATGGCCAGACATTTTGGACTTGGCAAAGATTAAATTTCTATTTTTCCCTTATTAGTACAATATTCTAGAAATGTATTTTCTTACATGTCCTCTGCCATCCAGCTACTGTATGTGCATAAGAATCTCGGAAATGCAACATTTTCAGAATAGTAGATATATAAACATTTATGCTACTTAATAATGTTTTAGCTGAAAGAAAACAAAAATAGTTTCCTTGTTTACGTGCAATCAATTCAGTTTTATTAAGACGTCACATGGAAAAGTTAAATATTTGAAAACAGTACAACTAAGTTTTCACAAAAATACTTACATCTTTGCCTGGCTCCCCTGGCAAGCCATTGGCTCCAGCAATGCCTGGTGCTCCATTAAGGCCTCTTTCACCCGTGGCACCTGGGAATCCATCTTTTCCTGGTGATCCCTGCAATAACACACATCATTTTATCTTACACTTTGGTGTAGATCAGCTTGGCTAGGTAGATTTAAGTTTTAAAGTGGTACAGGTCATTTTACAAAAGAGGAGTAGAGAAAAGTGTCTAGAATGTTAATAGTACTGTGTTTGCAAACCTGATTAAAAAATAAAAACAAAACAATACACACAAATAAAACAAGGTCAAGCTTTAAGATAAGGGTAAGGGTATGGGTTTGGGTATGGTGCACAAACTGGACTACTACTTTGTTCACAGTACCCAGGAACAATAAAGGACAGTACAAGTTATTACTACTGTAATTTGGCAATTTGGTCATCCCTTTTTCCATTTATACAACTGGATATTTTGTGGAACCCATCTGGAGCAAAGTACGTTGCTCAAGGAAGAAATTACCTTCCAGTTTTAAGTTCAGAGATCTAACCACTACTCCCACACTAATGGTAATTTGTGAGTTTATTAGTGTTTCTGTTATAAATTACCTAAAATGTCATGGAAAATTTATAACTGAAGTCCCCCAACCCTGAAAACACATATATTTGAACAAATGCAAAAAGATCCAAAAATCTAGTTCCACTAATATAGTTAAGAATAACTAATATCTTAATGACTGCATTAAATGGTATGTTATTTTAATGCTGATTGACTTTTACAGTCCTTAAAAATAAATCTATCCTTAGATTATTGCAATTGGTGATTAGGATCTGGAATATAAATTAAAACAAAATACCAAATTTAAGTCCAAAATAAAATGTTCTAGTAGGAATAACTTACCTGTGGGCCTGGCAGTCCTTGTGCACCTGGTGATCCCGATGGACCTTGCAAACCAACTAATCCTCTTGAACCAGGAATTCCTATTGGCCCAGAATCTCCTCGTTCACCCTGTGAGGATCATGCACTGCTTATAGCCATTACAATTAAATAACTATTACACTACTACTGAAGCAGCAACTACAACTTTGATTACTACAAATACTGAATGTTTATGTTTACACACAGTTTGAATGAAACCTTTACTACTCTAAAAGTCATTGAAGAGTCCGATCAACTGTGCAGTAAAATGTTTAGTTTACTGGTTTGAGCATTTTTTTCCATTTTCGATCACTTGATGCCTTATACACTTATCTTAAAATCATTATGTTTAGTGATCTAAACCACTTGCGCCTCAAAAAGAAGAAAGAAAAACAATTACTACTATTTGGCACATGGAAATCAAAAGGTAAAATGCAATTTACTGTATCAGCTTGAGAGGATACCTACTACCTATACTGTACTTGGAGGCAGTCAGGAGGCAATAACTAGAGTGCTTTTTCTGCTACTTATTGTCTAAATAAACTACTTACTCAATGAACAAAAAGACCATCTGAATGCCCCAAATTATATAAGATAATTCTACATCTACCTGTCCTAGCTACAAAAGATACTTCCAGATGCAATATACTGGAACTTTAGTAATCTTTTTACACAGCTATTTTCAAGCATTTTTGAAATAAATACTCAAGATGTCATACTGGCTTTCCATTTTCTCCTGGAGGCCCTCTCTCTCCTGGGGGGCCGGGAGCACCTTTAGATCCCGGTTCACCTGGGTTACCTGCGGAGCCAGTTTTTCCAGCAGGACCAACAGGGCCGATTTTACCATCTATTCCCGGGGGACCCCGGAAACCAGGACTACCCTGTAAAAACAAAGAATCATCATAGCTAAGAATTCCATGTCACAAAATGTATTAATTTCTTCATTCATGTATTTGAAAAGAGAAACCAGTAAATGGTGGCATCTAGTAACAAGGGTTTTCAAGGTTTGCAAGTCTACAGTATATTAATGCAACAGATCACTCACATTCTGTCCAGGAGGACCAGGAACACCTGGTGGTCCCATGAGACCCTGGGCACCCTGTTTAAAATAAAATATTTAAAATACATATAAGAGATGTACCAGGACACCAGGCTCAAGATGAAACCTGCGATAAAACAAACTACAAAGAAAAAACAGTCCTGCTGTATATTACTTGTGCATATTGAATTTGGCCACAAGACCCAAAAATAAAATGTTTTTGCAACATTGTAATTCCTTTAAAGAGCATTATTAACACTTACACTGTAAGATCATTATTTTTGCATAAAATTAATTCAATTTTTCTACTTACAAGGCACATTTTTTAGTACAACAACAGTTATAAAAATGCACTTCACTGACTTTGTTCTCCGGACCATGAAAGAGAATCTTCGGAGATAAGAACTGACAATCACGCTCTGGTTTGTAAAAGATGTGGCTTCACGGTGTAAATGTAAGTTTTTTTGTGTCCAGTTTTTGGTGCATAAATGTACAGTTCAGAACCTTACAAATTGGGTTAAGTTGTAATTAACTTTAATGGAGGAGAACTATGAAAATGTATAGTTTGGTTTTCAGCAGTATATGGATTATTTTCAATGCCTGTAGCTCTTGCATCTGTAATTCTCTCCTCTTCTCTTTATTTAAAGCTCTCAAATAACCACATTTTATTAAAAAAATAGAATTCAAATATCTCTGAAATTAATTAGCTCATCTTCAGCATAATAATACAATGATTACTGTCATCATTCTGAGGACTTGTTTTCTGACAATTCTGACATATTCATATTTATATCTACTTGGAAACGTACTACATTACCACACTATTTCCAGGGAATAATTTATTTCAATTTGTTTGCCATCACGAAAACAAAAGTAATTACTTAAATAAACTGCATATAGTATATGCCTTCTTTCTATTAGATGAAAGCAATGTTTGCATTTTGCCTTCATCCAAGAAAATAAGAGTATAAAGTTTTATAAATATTTATATATAAAACAGTGTGCAGTGGATGCTTCACAACCGGGTGGTGAAATGCTCTTCTGTCACTTGACACAAACACTTTCAAAGTTCTGTTTACCATTAATTGATACTGAAAGCTAAATTGTTTGGCTTACACCTGAAATGACATTTTGGCAATCTCACAACTTCCTACAACTCCAAAAACAAAATTAAAAATACAGATAAAAAGGCTTAATAATATCTCTTAATTTGTGACCTATATACAGTACATTACTGTGAGTACAGTATGTACGTGTGGATGCATGTCTATGCATGTACCTGATTACCAGGTGGACCACTGCTTCCTTTCGGCCCTGCGGGACCCATTCCACCCTAAAAGATCAAGATATCCAAAATCAGAAAAAAGACAACAAAATTGAAATACATTCTGAGTAGACTTACAATCACATATCTTCCCAGTGTGCAATTCACATCTTTACAATTATATTTATTAAACTCTCTTTCAATATTATTAATTCATATATTGAATAAATAAAAAAATATATATTTCAATGTCTAAAATGTAACTGTGCGTTGTTATTTACCTAAAACCCGCAATTGCTGAATGCCTAGTGTATTATCTAAACGAATCAAGTACTCACCGGTTGTCCTGCTGATCCAGGAAGTCCTGCTGGTCCTGGAGGACCAGCTTCACCTCTATCCCCTGGTGACCCTTTTTCTCCTTTTAAACCAGGCTCCCCGTTGTGACCCTGCACCACAGGAGTTTACTTTTAACCTTTTACGCCTATTCTTGTATTTATACTCATCACATTTATTTTGATCTGACAGCATTAACAAAAAGTCATCTCTTGAAAGAAAATAACATTTTCATGCAATAATGCATTTAACTGTAGTAACATTAATGATCATCAATAATCACTGTTACTAAATAAATAAACAATAAATATTGTTACAAAGACTGGGATTTAAAATGGTAAATCTCTAAATATTGGAGAGAGAGAAAAAAGGTCAGGAAACCCAGTTTCATTAACATACTGCAAAAGATTCTGAACAGATATGAATCATAACAAGGTTTTGAAGTGTTATTTTTCACTGGCTAATGTAAATATCAAATTAAATTATATTTACAGGGGGTCCAGGGAATCCAGGACTACCTTGAGGGCCAGTTTCTCCTCGTTCTCCCTTAAGAAAAAACAGCAAACGGGTATTTTACAACCTACTGTACAAAGATGCATAGTTTGAAAAACTTAATAACAATTCCAAACAATCCCAAATGGATGTTATACACAAAGAATAAGAAATACAATGTTAATCTCTTAACCACAAATATAATCCTGGACCGCTTTTGGGGCAGCATTAACTAAACCTCATAAACACAAGTTGCTGTATTTACTTCTACATTCACTAACATTTTCTCTATGGCAGGTCAATATACAGTAGTATCTATGGGATAGGATAGCACTTCATGCAAAATAATGTGGGCATATAACATCTGCAAGTTAGGTGTTTACTAGTGTTCATTTTACTTTCAATATTTTATATTAATTAGCTCCTTAATAATACCTATTATGACCTTAAATGTGTTAAAGACTTACAGGACCACCTCGACCTCCAGGAAGACCAGGGCCTCCAGGAGAACCAGGCTCACCCTGGAAAACAAATTCATTCATTATCATTTGCCTCAGTAAAGCAGGTTTCTTAAAAAGTAGTTTGCATTCATTTTTTCTTTGGTGTTTGGCATCTTAAGGTCACTGTTTGAGGGGAACAATCCAGTAGGTTTTGTAGCTCAAAAACCCTCAAGAGCACAAGACCTCAAGTAGAGGGTTAAATTAAGTAGAGAACTGTACAGTATGTAACAAAAGACTATAAAACGTTAGAAATATACACATGTAGTACAAGTAACCTAGCTGGTGAACAGTGCAGTTAAGTTGAATTGTCATATGAACACCCATGATATGCAAAGATTAAAGCTTCCACTATGGTACTATCACTCAGAGTTAGATACTGTAAATGACATCTGTAAATGTCATTTGTAAATGACAAAAAGAAAGACAAAAAATATAGGATGCCAAGCAAAATTCCATTGTCATTCTGCTCTGTAGGAGAATGTAATTTCCAATGTCATTAGGTACTCTGTCATTTCCTAAACACCTTCTTAACCATGATGCAAAGAAGATAAGACAACATAAACCTTAATCCTACTGAAGAAGCATAAAAACCAAGATACAGTATACAGTAATAATGATAAAATATACTTTTCAACAGAAATTATTTCAAAATCAAACAAAACAACAATTGTTTCTATTTATTTCAAAGCAGTTTGTATTTACAAGTATTAAAGCAATATGTAGAAATCATCTGACAATTTTAGAGTTTTCTGTATATTCAAACTAAATGATAATTTTAAATAAGCAGAATGCAGGGTCAACATACATACCTATCCTAAGCAGTTTCAGTATAACATATTATACTTTCTTCACTCTATACTGTATGTATAAACATAGTTATAAGACTCTTTTGGACAAAATAAATTATTTAAAATGCTATTGTTAGATATATTGAGACATAAAATCTTTTTTGTCGCAACAGATTGATAGAAATAGATAATAAACAAAATGAACTGGTAAAATGGGTTTTAATTAAGTTTAATGAATAATGAAAGTGTCCCATGGAATGTACCATAGTGAACATACATTGCATTAAGGAAGTACAAGACTGGACATTTATGATAAACATAAGCAATAGCCTTCTTTGATTCAGTGCATAGATCGGTGACTGTAGTGAAGAAGCAGACCACCATGATTGTCCCTTTCTAATATGATTGTGTAAGCAGCACAGCAGAGAACTCTGTATTTAAACCATTTTCTTTAATCTAAATATTGGTGTGGTTTTTGTTCTGAAGTTATTTTAGCTTCCACACAAGCCATCAAATAAATAAAACATCAATAGTATAAATAAAAAAGTATACTGTAAATATATAAATATAGAATGTAAATTGCTTGCTTGTGTTCTGTGATTCCCTTATATTGGTATTATATTTGCAAAGTATAGACTTTTGTGTTAAACACGTTCAGTATACAACCCTGTGTTTTTTAATGACAGATGTTGTCTGTCATGGCAAATTCAGATTTTACCATTTCTATTACTTTAAATTAAATATGGGGCTTTTTCTCTGTTTTGTTTCTGGTTGGCACATAAACGTTAACACTCATTTCAAAATGTTTAATATGAATCTTTCTTCAACATTTATGTGAATTATTTATAGTCTTTAGAATATTTAAGTATTATTCTAATTTTCTGAAGCAATATTACGATATTGGAATATATTGTGTTGATTAGAATCATAACTTTAAAATGTACCTACAGTAGGAAGGTTATTGTCACTGTTTGTTGTATGAAGATGTTGAAGTCATGTAAGAACTGCATGTGATGTTATGCTATTCTCATCCAAACATTTCATAACACACACAATAGGAATTAATTAAATCATACATACTGTATTTTCTACCACCATTTTAAATATGAAATATAAGTTAAAACATCTGTCAGAGTTACCATAATACAGAATTAAATGTCTGATAAAGTCATTCAATTGAGAGACACTTAACTAATACTGTTAGGTCTCATGGGATGCAATGCACACACTTTAACAACAAAGTCATATTATCTTATCTTAATATTGATATTATGTGATTGCAAACTAGCAAGATCTAGTTTGCAATCACAGGGAGCACAACATTTGCAATGAGAGTGGTGTAACACACTGCTTCAAAGATAAGATCCATATCAATAGGTGTTGTACTTGTATACCATGTCTTACTATAAACTACCATATTAATGACTCACAATCAACCAGAAGTGTTAATCATATTTGAAATATAATTCACATGTAGCTTATACTGTAGTTTACACGTGGACACATTATAAGTTGAAGGTCAGTATTACGGAACTCTGGGTAGGGGTAAAACAAAGTGTGATATCTGCAGATAAAAATTTGGTTATTTTAATTTGGAAGTTAACACAGCTTTTGTTAGTATTTAATGTTAGAAATTAACAGCACTTACTCTATCACCTGGAGGTCCTTTTGGGCCAGGAGAGCCTATAGGACCAATTGGACCCTAATATTAAGAATAAAATAATAGAAACACAAAAGATCATATTTTAAGAAACCAGACATTTATGTAGCATTAATATATATTACAGATATACTGACATGCTTCAATAGTTCTTGCATAATGGTACATTTAATTATCTATCTGTAGACAGACACTAAAACATTTCTGTGGACGTCAGGATGTCAGGTTTTGAGGTAAGGATACTATTCTCTTCCCTCTTGTGATCAATTTCTAATAGCCAATCAACGTCAGTATTTTAAGTAAGTGGAAGTATAATAGAATGCCTGAAGACAATACACAAAAACCCGTGGAAAACATGGAAGCTGCACAGGTCCAAGGTCAGAATTCAACACATAACCACTTATACTTCCCAACTTTGCACATAAAATCAGTATTTAATTAAATTGTAGTTTAAAATTTTGATTATTTTTTAGTATGAATACTTACTTTGGTACCGTCCTTTCCAGGACCTCCATCAGAACCCCTTGGTCCCATGTCACCCTATTAAACAAAACAAAAATGGCATTGACATTCATTCCAAACACCTGAGCTATTGCGTTGAATTTTCTCATTCTCAAAGTTCATTTTAGAGCTTTAGCTTTAGAGATTCATTCAAATAAAATATTAGATGAAGAGTCCTGAGATGCAGAAATTCACATTTATGGAAAGATCTAGAGAGTGTTCAGTTATTCCTGTACCTTGGAAGTCATTTATCACACATTTTTGACATTGACAAGAACATCCAACATTGCCTGTGCTTAAGGAAATGGGTGTTTGTAGATTGTGTGATTAGATCTGAAACCAACCTTAAGCAGTAGTAATATTTGCTGTACCCTACAGAGCTGAGACATGGTATCAACCTTTAAATGATACCTCAAGGTGCCGTGTCTGTAATAAATTATGGCTGTGGAAGAATGTTTGACTATAGCCTGGAAACAGGAGAACCAACATGAGCATCTTGTAGCATATCAATACAATGTGAGTTTCAGACATCAGTTTCTGTGGGCAAGTCATTCAGTTGTCCAATTCCAGACCCCAGTCAAACACCAGCAGTGGGGTGTCTGGGTGAGTGTTTCAGAATCTAGACTAAAGACCTAAAACCTCATATTTTGGGGGATACTGGTATTGTACCCTAAACAAGGAACTCAAATTGCTTCTGTAAATACATGTAGCATGAAAAGTAATCAGGCCTAGCATATACTCATGTAGAGAGCAGATAAATCATTTTAAGAATGATTTCTCTCTTTAGGTTTTATTAATTATTAACATGATGATGATCAACAATGATCATGTTTTCAGATTTCAAGTATCTCTTTATCACTAAAGGCAAATATTATTAATATATTATGTTATTATATAATATTATTAATTTATGGTGCTGTTCCTCTGAAATGTAGTGCTATGTGAAAGAATCAAAATCTCTAAAGTGACCTCCATGATATTGTATTTCACCTGAGATATCACAAGTAAAATATTGTTTCAGCCAAGCCAGTAAACATACAGTACATAGAATATTGAAGTCTTAAAAGGGGAAGAAAACATGACTTCTGTTTACCACTCCTGTACATCCTGTACATACCTTTTCGCCTTTTAATCCTGCCAGGCCTGGCATTCCTCTTTCACCTGGCATCCCTTGAATTCCACTTAATCCACTGGCACCAGGGGGACCCAGAGGCCCTTGAGGACCCTGAGAAGTAAACATTTGGAAATTTTAGTAATAATGTAATATTGCATTTTTTTAATAACAATGTTTTATGTATATGTTAAAAACACAGTAGCTCTTTTTATGACTTAAATACTACCAATGAATGGATGGAAATGTACAACAATTTTGTCAATACTTGTCTTTTGTCAGTAACTTACAGTATATCTATCACTAAAAGGTAAAGGTATATGTTAGATATCAGGTATTAAACAGTAACTACTGTATATACAATTACAACATACTAGCATTAATTAGGATTTTAAGTTGTTTTTCATTAATAAAGAACCTGCAGATACATGTTTTTTAGGTTTGTTTCATGATGATGCGATTTACTATATTCACTTCATATTTATCTTTTCTGCTTTTTTAGATTTCATAGTCAGGGGGGGCAAGCTAGCATTCCCATGGTAGCCTGCCATGTCTCTGCTCACCTGTAAGTCAGTGCTGGTCACCCTGGATACAGAGTTAGAAAGCCTGTATAATCTGTTGACAATTATGACCTCCCCTGTCTCTGGTGAAGCAGGCTACCTAAGATCTGATCTGGCAGTGTTCTGGGCTCTGGGCTATAGTGTTTGCTTCAAGCCTCTCAAGTTCCACAGTTCTCTGGATCCCTACTTCACTATCTTGTGCTTCGATTGGATTCTTGACCATGCCCTGCTTTGACCCTTTATGACTTTATTGTGTCTCTCCACCTATGAGTCTGCTTATCTACACCTACAGTTTTGTATTCCCTTTTTGTGCTTTTTCTCCATGTCACCCACCTTTGAACACTGTTTGAATAACAATGTATCTGGACTGAGCCTTGTCTGCTTCCCTTGCCTCTTTGCTACACTTGCCTGCTTCTTTCCTGTTCTTCTGAGCTTTCCTAGCCTGCTATTGGGTTCGTCTTTTGACCACTGACCACTGTTTAATTCTCAATCAGTAGATATTACAGTCAGCGAAGAATATATGTTTTTTTAAGAATTCACAGTTTTATTAAATTTTAATGCTATAACCTAAATGGGTCTGGTCTTAATCCACATGAAAGAAATGAGAAATCCTTTGGCACATCCACAGAAACATTTGTTATTTTGCATGATGCAAGTTCATAGGTTCTTACAAGAGAATATCAGTGACTCGAGAATGGTGTACCTCTAACTGATATTACTAAAAGCCTGCAGACACTTGGAACGTAATGTGAGTTACAGTACTGTTTTCCAGAATACCACAAAAGCCTTGGTCAACTAATACCAACACCTCATAATGGTGACCTGCGAAGTATGTGTTAACATTTGGGTAGTCCTGATTGTAATTGATTGTTGCATTAGTTGCATTACCCAGGATTGAACCAGTGTTCATACCATGTCTGTATATTAAATGCATTCAGTTTGAAGTGATTTTTACATTTACAGTTTGCCAAGCTACAGTTGTAATACCATACCCATCAATGTTTAACCTATGCATATAAGTTTAAACACAAGGTAGTGATTTAATACTGAGGTAATTTTTAATGGCTATAAGTTCATACTCACCTTCTGACCTTCTGGGCCTGTTTGACCTGGAGGTCCTCTCTCACCTCGAAGTCCCGGTGGGCCTTGTCCACCTCTCTCTCCTGGCAGACCTTGTTCACCCTTAAATTGTTATTATACATCAGATTAAATAATTGCATGTCTTCAGATCATTTTTTACTACTTTTTGAGAATTTTTGTGACAGATTTGTGCAACTGAATCAGTATTTGTATCAATATTCTGTAAACTTACATAACGAAAGAGTTAGCAAACCTTAACTGTTTAGTTTTTTTTCCAAGAGAAATAATTGAATCCCCCCCAAACACACTTCTTCATGCATTTTGCCTAAATTTGGCTGAAGTCTAAGTAGCTTTCATAACAGGTCATAGATAAAGAAAGGTATAAAATATGTATCACTCTGAATATCTCTGAAGAAAAGGAAGATGCATCATATCACCCAGATACTGCATACTGTATGTCTGACTGTAACTCAAAACTGAGTACACAGACAAGGAAGAAAGTGGTGAGGGATGCCACTGTGAGACCAACAGCTTTGAAATACCTAGATAATTTGCATCGCTTGGCAATACCGTGGTCACTCCACAAAGTTGTGTTTTACGGCATAGAGGAAAAACATCTGCAGAAATGTGGCAAAATGCATTGGTCAGATGAGACGAAAATGATTTTTGTAGTCTACATTGTGAAGAGCTAGATTTGGCAAAGACCCAACACAGCATATCACCCAGTTATCTGCATCCCTATATTCAAGCATGGTGATGGCAGGATTTTGCTAAGGAGAAGCTTCTCCTCAGTAAGGAATGGAAAGCTTGTTAGTATTGAATAAAAATGGACAGCAAAGTACACAAATACTAGAGCAAAACCTGTTTCAGTATACAATAGACTTAAAACTGTGTTGAAAAATTACATTTACAGGTCAGTGAGTACAGGTTATTTTTATAAATCAGAAAATGAATGACTTTCAGTTTCTCCCATCAAAATCTTAATAAGACTTTAATTATTTGGGACACTAATTTTAAATAATGGGTCAAGGCCCCCAACTCTAAAAGCAAATACAGCAAATTAATGATGAGGGAGGGAACTGTGAGGGGTAGTTATGTTTTCTGGAATTTTGCCCCAAGACAAAACTATCATATGTCAATTCACAACACCTATTCTCATAAGAAAGCAGTGAAATTGTATTATGTGAGTGATTTTAGATTTTGGGGCAAAGCCCTCTGAACTCTCTGTAGTGAAGCATTAGTTGATTCATTTTCCATAGAATTCTGCCATTGTTTTTAAGTAAACAGTATAGAAATGTATAAGAATGAAGCAGTTTAAGAAAATACTAAAGTCTGTTCAGTTATTGCCTGTGTTCTGCCGTTTTACCTGGTCCCAAAAAAATTCAATGAGAAGATTTTCTTTAAGGTACAGAAACCACACTTCACCACAGCACCACAAATTTTATGACATACTGTTTTTTTTTATACAGTATATCATATATATATGATATATAATGTGCTGTTTTTTAGTGTTTCTCAGTAACTTTGTGTAGATTTTTGTTCAGTATTTTATTCATATCATTTTAATTTTTAAACACTTCTGATCCATTTGGTTTTACTACCTATGCAAGCAATTACTGTATAACAGTAATATTAATAATTTGTTTTTTATATCTAGTGTTCATACATATATTACACATAATTTTTAGTTGCAGTGTAATGGAAATGACCAACACCAAGCAACACTTGTAGTTTTCAGTTTAGCTCATGGTACTTACAGTAATATATAAACTAAGAAAACACATTTCCCGTTATCCCACGCATTCATTCATCCAATTCACCTGTGCAATAATATGTAATGTATGTGGGATTAAATGTTTTCATTGTTAAAAATGTACCTGTTTACCAATACTGTTTACCCAATGACATAAGTGGTACAAAAATATTTAGCATACAATATATAGTGCCTTTAAAACCAGTAATTTTATCATTGTTATATTGTGACAAATTGCATTTGGAAATATCATTTTGGTAGTGATGTTGAAACGGAGTTTATGTACAATGTTGTTTGATCAATTTTTTGTCACTGGTACAGTATATGATCAGCTCATAAAAGTACTAACACTAACGGGTTAAAATAATTAATTTTTAGTTTTTAATGTTTTTATACATACATACTTGATCTTGATTAATAGTATGCCAGTGTGCAGCAGCACAGTGTTTGGGAAATTTAAGTCTTCATTGTGCCACCTGATAGTGTTACAGAGTAGTGCAGTCCTGCATTTCACAACTGGGGAAAAATAAGAATTACGTGCTGCACGTTACTTCTAAACACTGCGGTGGCTACCACAGCATGCCTACAGTATATACACTTCACGTATTCTAGAAGGTTGCATCTGTAAGATCAATATATTTCAGTGTTCTCACTTTAGTTTCTGTTGACAATTAGTGTATTGTAAGTCTCCAGTTTGAGCATTATAAATAAAAGTTTTGTAATTTTGCAGAATGGCTCTCCACAGGAAGGATTTTATACTTTGGAATCTCAACAATCCACAAACCTTACTTCTTCATGTAAGTATATCACACACTTACTTACAATAAGTGCATGTAGACCTTGGTTGTTATAACAATTTTGGGATAATTCATAGGACAATTATTATTTAATTATCATTATTCATGCTTTATTCCAAACCTTAGGAAACATTTAAAGGTTTATAATCAATTTGGTTATGAACAGATATTTGAACATTTCTCCCAGTAACCATAATATAAATGTATGAAACCCGAGCTGCTGGCTCGGAAAGTAAGTACTTTACCTCAATTGTGCATGTTCTTTCATCAGTACAGATATTTTCAAAAATTGTATTATTACCTTAGGACCTGGCCCTCCAGGATTACCATCTTGTCCATTTGTTCCCTAAAACAAATAATACTGAAGTTTGTCAAAACATAATATGGATCAAAACATTGATGTATGTAGTTTTATTGGCTCTCTTTTGTATTTGTTTATATCATACAAAACATCACAAGATATCTTCAATTTACTTTCTATTTAGTAAATTGGAGTTCTTGGTCATAAAATGTATTCTTTTTGAAATATCAGATAAATGCAATTTTAAATTCATCTTATGTGATTCCATTTTTATCATTTTCAGTAAATTTATTTAAAACTCATATCTTACCTGTTCACCTGGCTTTCCACTTTCTCCAGGAGGGCCTGGGTTCCCAGGTAGACCCTTATTTTCAGGAAATCAACATAAAAATGTTTTAATTTGAAACTAGAAGTAACATTTATGTTACCATTCGAGTTAGTAGGGGTATCAAACAAAACTGAATCTATTAGGATAATACTAAGTATCAACTCAATTTTGCATAAGAAATGCAAAACTTTCATACTAATTACATAAACCAATGTTAGTAAATATATCCCCATCAATGGTATACCAAGAGTTCCATGAATAAGAAATGTTTTAAATTTAACCTTGTTAACTTATATAATTAGACATTTCTCTAGGTATTCAAAACTCAGTAAAAGTAACAAATTCAAATTAAAAATACTGTAACTTTTAACATGAAAAGCCATATGTACCTGGAAGCCTGGGGATCCTGCAGGGCCTGTTGGTCCTATTTCACCTGGAGGTCCCTAAACATAATATTTTTAACATTAAAATAGGATTATCAAGAACTAATACACAAAGTGATAAAATTATTGGTGACTTATCACAGACTGTCATTTCTTTTTTGTTGCTCACTCACTGGAAAAGTTAAATCACAAAAACAAATTGCTGATATATTATTCTTTTTTTTTTGGTTCTCAACTTCATTAGGTAAGATTTAATTATTACATCTTTAATGTGAAATGCTATGATCAACAATTATATATGAATTCTCCAAGTTATACAATACGTAGTGCACTCAAATCCCACTTACAGCTGGACCAGGTAATCCTGCTTGACCAGGTTCACCTGATTTTCCAGATTCACCCTGTTAAAAACAGAATACAATGTTAGAAAATCAGTTACTAGACTAGACTAGGTCAAATTCCTACTTGCATTTCCTCTTTACTATGCAAATAAGATCCCTGGCTGCAAATGGTGCTGTGTTAATCTTTTCTAGCTTCTGGTATTCTGCTTAATTGCAGATGTACTGTAAGTGTTTCATACTCAGCATTACATGAACAATTGTATTCAACTGCTACAATACAAGACCAGAGTTGCCTTCCCACCTCCCCAACCTCAACCCCTCAACAAAAACAAGTGGCTCTGCTACTGCAATTCCATCTGCACTTTTCTTTCAGTTATCCTGATGTTGTCAAGCCTTCCAGAAAGTCAACTTTGGCAAACCTACAGCAACTGTCTTCCATATTCACTTCCCTTTCACTTTCTCTCTCTAAACTCTTTTGCTCAGTATTCAACCTACCACATTTACTGCCCCTGCCTGTTATATATTGTTTTGTCTCTCTCCAATCCTTCTTTTCAATGATACACCAGGGGCCCAAGTTCCTGACTCCCAGAGGTGCGAAAGAACAGAATAAGTCATTACCAGATTCGGTCCTCCTCATTCATACCTCATACTGTCCAAAGCGCCCAAGGCCTAGGCATCTACATTAATGGTTTCCACAAACCATTTATTCCTCCAATTGTTGGTGTCCTCCTGGTGCTGTATTGGCCCTAAATTCTCCCCCTCCAAAAGCTTCCACCTGTAGCTTCCAAATGTAGCTGAATTTTTTTCGTCCTTTGGGGGTTCCATCCATAATGTGTCTTTATCCAATCTGTCTAGAAAACTTCAGCAAGCGGTATCATTCTTCCTACGTCCCACCAAAGAGTTTCAAACTGAGACGCACACATATTTTCTCCTTTCAACCCAACCCTCTCTCCTTCCTACCTAACCTCATCAATGTAGCATTTTCACCCTGGCTCATCCTTCAAAGGTGAGGGAGTGAGGTGAGTTAAATTACTATTTTATTCTTTCAGATTTATTGACTAATTTCATCATTAGAATTTAGAAATTAGAATCCAAACTACAAAAAGTAATAAATATAGATGCTTACAGGTGGACCAGCTGGTCCTGAAGGGCCCCTTTCACCATCCTTACCAGAAGGACCCTGAAAGACAAACACTATATTCTTCAAAGCTGGAAATATCTAAGAAGAAAAATGTACTGTGCTCAAATAGTTTTTAAAAAAACTACTAGATATTTACACAACAGGCTAATTTTACAGGATACAAAAATATAAATTAATGATTACTTACATCACTACCCCGTGGACCAGGGAATCCCATGACTCCTGGGGGGCCTCTAGGGCCTGGAGGCCCAGAATTTCCTGGTCTTCCTTGCTCACCAGGGCCTCCCTGTGTTCACAAGGTATGAGTCTATTACAAACGTATACTAAAACAATTTATTGGCAAAACAACCCAATTTTCATACAGAGTAGGGCCTAACTGAATTCAGATTTTTTAGAAAGAAAAATATGACATACAGTACTCAAGATGCTGCACATGCTATCTCCTGTACATAGGACACAAAAAACAAAATCAGTTTTAGTATAAATCCTTTTTTCATTTTTTGCTTTTGCAATCAAAGACATTACCTTTTTCTTTGGAAATTGTATTTCCCATTACCTACCCTTTAGGCACAATAAGCAATTAGCACATAAAAATACATTTGTACAAGTTTACCTGTGGTCCAGGTTTGCCATCCGCACCAGGATTTCCTGGCGATCCTGGCATGCCCTATAAAAAGTTTTTTTAAAAAAATTATTATTCAAAGAACTGTCCTTAGGTTTATAAATATGTACCCACAAATCTACAAGATCACTGTTCCACTTTAGTACTTTTGATATTTTTCATTACAAATTCAAAGCCACAGTTTTCCAAAAGACACATGAAATGAATTAATACAAATATGATAAAAGGCATGCAAAAGAAGGTCACAAAAAGTAATGGTTTACTAGAACTTTCTTATTGTAAAATTATTGCCTGAACCACAGCCTTGTATTTCTGAATACTGGTGCCTTATTGTTACTTAATAAGGTTTTGACAGGATGAGTTGGAAAGATTTTAATTTCTGTTAAGCAAAATGTGTTATTTTAATGAAAAACTCAATGCTCAAATGAAATTTAAAGCAATGAATTATCTTTTATCACTGGATTTGCAGACATTTTGAAAATTAAAATAAATGTGAACCCCACTTTCTCTGGGAAAAAGAATCAATAACCATAGAATCACTAACTGAATGAAACTTTTTAAAAGAAATATTTCAATCAATTTACATCAATATTACTACATTAATTTATTCCAGATATGGTTATTAAATATTTCTATTTATTTAAGTTCTACATAATACAATATTTTAGATTAGATACAATAATGTATTTTTATTTTTTAATAATTATATTTTTAAATTGTTGTTAACTAAGTCATAATTTATGTAGTGAAAATCAAAGACTTTAATGGCTACTTACTCTCATTCCAGGCTGACCAGGTAGCCCGGCGGCGCCTTGATCACCTGGGTTACCCTTTGGACCTGGTAAGCCTATTTGACCACGCTCACCAGGACCACCCTAAGTGAAAACAAAATATTTTCATGTGGCTGAAATGACTCTAATACACACTGGAGCTGTGGATCAAAAACAGAACAGATAAAAATGCCAGAACACATGACAATGGGCCTATAAAAGTCGCTATATATTTAAAATATTGGACTGTAATATTCCTTTTCAAATAAACCTGAAATTCTTTTTAAAGCTTTACTACTTTCAATAACAGAATAACTTAAAATACATTATTTTTTTCTGAAGCTAGTCCAGTAAAACTGCTGTATTACATAGGAATCCATATTAATGATTTTAAGCAAATTATTATTATATAATACATGCTTCAAAAAGCATTTCTATCACTTGAATAATGGACTAACTTGCATGATTTAAATGGACATAGATATTAAAATGTGTATTCTTTATCTGCCTCCCACCTTTTAGAACCTTTAAGTTCTAAAGTGACTTTCAGTTCACTAAAGTGACTGTTCAAATTTCAATAATTGCATTATATAGTCCACTTATTCATACCATTAAAGATATCACAAAAAATTGATCTCACAGTCACTAACTAACAGGATTTCAGGTTATAGCATTTTTTATCTTTTTCTAATGGAGTGACACAACCCTTTCTCTCTTAGAGCTTGATTTGCCTTAGTTTAAAAGTTACTTAATTTACCTTTAGCACCAGTCCCCAAAAGCCCTTATTCTTTTACTCTCCCAAATTTCTGAAGATGTACAAAGACCACAACAAGGTGTTGGAGTTTTACCTTTTCTCCAGGAATACCATTTGCACCAGATGGTCCTCGCAGGCCAGGGAGACCCTAACAGAACCAAAACATAAATATACGAAATATATACATATATATACATACTGTAGGTTGATAGGAGTGGGCAAAATTAGGATTTGACCTCAACACAAACTTCTTTTTAAGACTCCATATATCCATGGAAAACATTATTGGAGGCTTTGAGTGAATTGTTAATGCTCATTTCGTATTGTAACTATAATTGTATTTACGGTTTTAGGGGTGTACCTAAGATTTCCTTTCCTGATAACCATGGCTAATTTTAAGCCACTGTAAATGTTGATATTGATTTCATACATATATTTGGTAAATGAGTATATTACAAGCTACTGAAACAAGGCAGCATTAGGTTTAATTCAAAAATCATTCTGGGGGTTGCATTTAAGACTGAATGCTGATTGATTTTATTTAAAAATAATTAAAAATAAGGAGGACTAAGCCTTAATCTGATCCATGTCAGTATGCAATGTGAATGCATCTTCCAATTTAGCTCTTGGATCGGACATTCCACAGACAAATACACCATCAAATGGAGACAACTTTTTATTAAATGTCGACAAAATGTTTATGTTAACTTTTTGAGGCAGTATTCCAAAGAATAAACAAAGCAAGCTGCTTACTGACAAAATGAAATATGGCTATGCTAAAAGCCATTGTCTAAAAAAATTAGGAATAAAATAAATCTACAGTTCTATATACCGTATTTTACAGCTGTTCTACAGTATATATTCTATAACAGTGTCATCCAAAGTTTATGGCTGATGATAGTGAAGAAATTGCTTTTATGCCAGCTAGAGAAAAGATTTTCAAAAGGGAAATCATTTTCATTGAAGAATTCATACAAATTAAGAAACTCATAACCATTTCATTACTTTGACAGGACTACTTTGAAAGATCCCATCAGAAATAAAAGTGAAAGTAAATTATATTTGATGACCTTAGAGATCTTTGAGAAATGCATACAGTGGAACCTACAGTATGCGCAAAGCACTTTTGCTTATACTGTAAGTCATCATTACAAGCTCTACTTATAAAAAAGTCTCTATAGTCATATAGTCATTCTGTTATGGATTAAAGCCGGAGTGATAAACTCTCCAGTTGAATGTAAACCATTCTGAAAGCATATAAAATGTATATCTTTGATATCTTTAAAAATAACTAAAGGTACAGGCAGATTTTTAAAAAGAAATCATATTTAATGTTTAATTTTATTCATGAAGTGTTTTCGATGTGAAACAAAGCTCCTTTTATTAAGATGGCACATGTAAAACTAAATTGTATTATTGAAACAAACGTTTGCATACCTGGACTCACATGTATACTTAGGTCTTCATTTAAAAGCCATATTCAGTATTATGCATAAACATGTATTATAATTTTTCATGTTTTTATATATAATTTATTTTGAGACACTAAATCTTCCACGATTTTCTTTTAGTGGGAGCAGAACATAGATGTTTTGGTCAGCTGTGGACTTAGCTTTAACCCATTGTTTAATTTTTCAATTTTGTAGGTCATATTTTAGATTTAAAATTTCTCTGTGTCCTTCTCTCCTAAGGCTACTGTGCTGGTACTCTGCCTCCATCGATAGAGGTGGCAGTTAACCCTATCTTTAACTTCATTAAAATAAATATTGAAAATGTCATAAATGAAACCTTTGCTGCTGTGTTAAAGAAAAAGTCAGTCAATCTTCTGGTTTAAACTGTTTCTAAAATGGGTGTCCACAAGTGTTTGACCTGGCTAGAAAATGGAAATTTAGAGTAGGTACTCAACCTAATCAACTACATGTCTTTGAGAGAGAAAATCAGATCTTGGCAGAAACCCAGAACCCTGGAACTGTGATAAAGCAGTATTACCATTCCACCATCCCACCCAAGATAAATGTTCTGCATTTTTGTTCCCCCATTTATTTGATTTAATGTAATACTTAACTGTAGGTATAGATAGAATAAATGTCTAATTATTAATTATTTGTTGTACTATCTATCCAAATAATATGGATGGGCTTTTGTTATTTGTCCGCAAAATGTGAAGTAAATGTGATGTGATCAAGTGCCTCACCCTTGCGCCAGGCTCTCCAGGCTGACCATTGACTCCCTGTGGCCCAGGTGGGCCTTTCTCACCATTGTGACCAGATTGCCCAGGTGGACCCTGAGGACCAGGATCACCCTAAGAGAAATATAATTGAAATTCAATTTAACCCATAACTCATAATTAATTTAATTCAATTCAACTAATAAAACTATTTAACGAATTATAGCGTAATAAATCCAAAGCAGAAAATGCCTTTAATATTCATCCAAAATACTGGTCTTTCTTTTTACGCAGAACTGAAAAAGATTGTACTCTTGAGATGAAGTGATTCACTGAATAACTTTTAGGTACAGTGTAAGTCAATGTATTAACTTGTAATAACATTCCTGAATATCCATGAAAACATGACAGGGACATTACCATTTATCTGTGCTCACAAATCCACAGACACACACACTTCCCAGTAAATTTAATTAAGATAGTGCTTTTCCATGGCTAAATGCTGACCCTAACAATAATGTTAAAGACTTTTCTAAAAGTCTTTCTAAAAGGAAGCATAAGCTGCTTCCAAGCTTAAACAGACTACAAGGCTTAGTTTACCTAAGTATTTCATATTCCAAAGGTTTTGTATGATGAATCATTTTTTGTTTATGTATGCTTGGATGTTCTACTTATTTTTCCTAAAGGATTTATAAAAATAAAACTTACAGAACGACCTTGAGCACCAGGTTCACCTTTTTCACCTGGTTTTCCAGACTCGCCCTACAAAAATAAAAATAAAAATTATTGCTGAAATGTTTTAATTCTTTTTTAGCTGTGTCCAGCTATCCAATGAAAGCGTAACAGCTAAGGTACTATAGGTAATAGGTAATATAAGGTAATATAAATCACACATTACATTAATGTCTGAAGTATGATTTTTAACTTTTTTGGATTTTTTCCTTTTAAATTCAATGTTGAAATCACCTGTTATTTCCTCATGTCTCAGCTTTCAGCAATGACACATCAATTTACTCATTTTTAAAATAAATTTAAAATAGCCAATTATTTTGGTTAAACTGTCTGATTTGGAATAGCCAAGTATTTGTTTTTCATGTCTTAGAGAACAGCTATAACCTCAAAACTGCACACAAAGGTGAATGTGGAAGTGTAGACAGACTCCTCTGATTCACCCACATTACAGCCATTCACCTTTTAACATGTACATGCTAAACAGTACTGTGCCAGAGGTTCACTGTATATTGCAGGTGAGGTCCGTATATTATCAACATCATTGACAGTGAGCAGTAGGCCAGAGAGTTTATTTTTTCACTGAGAGCTGAGAGGGTCCTAGCCAACTAATCACACCACACCTTGGCAGTGCTAATTGTGTCCCTCAACCTGAGAAATATTGGTCATAATTAGCTAGTGGCATGACCTACTGTAAGCCCTTACAGTAAGACCTGTAATCATAGAACTAGAATTGCATTTGGGCAAGTTCCTTTATTGAAATAACCACTTTGTTGGGTCTTTTTCATTCTTTTGACATACTGCAAGTGTCACAGAGCCTTTTAGGAAGGTTACCAATTGGAGGGTTAGTACATTCCTCACCATCACTGTAAGCCCACAGAAAAATGTAAACACCTCCGTTTCATCAAGAGCAGAGAAGCCCTGAATAACTAACCCTAACCTTAGCCTTAATATGACCTTATCTTGAACTTGCAACATCTGAGCCATACACATAGAATATCCAGTGCATCTTAACTGGGTGAGACACTCAGGAGATCTGAAGTATGAAATTTAAATAGCAGACCAATTATATCACTCTGTCTAGATAAGTCACCTGGACTTGTTACATTAAATCACACGCAGACAACTATACCGGAGCTCCTCTTTGTCCAGGTAAGCCATTTGAACCAGGTGAGCCTGGCTGACCAATGGGTCCCTGTAACCCAGGACCTCCAGGTATACCAGGAAGGCCCTAGAAAAAAACAAAACAATTATTTTCATTACAGTGTTTTAACAATTCTGAATTAAATATGTAATTCTCTTGTATAGATGTGGTGTTTAAATAATTAACTCTCACACATTTTAAGTGGTCTTTGCTTCTTTACAAAACTAAAAATCAGTTGATACTCACCATGCTGCCTTTAAGACCAGGCGCCCCAGGATTTCCTGGATTACCCTGTTGGAATGAGATGGCAAATTTATTTTTTTAATTCATTAGGTGCTTTTATAATACCTCTTTAAAATTAAAATAATGATTTATTTTTACTTACAGGAGAACCAGGAGTGCCAGCAGGACCCTGAGTTCCAGGATCTCCTTTTCCACCAGGGTTGCCATCTTTTCCACGACTACCAGGAGCACCAGTTTCACCCTGTATGACACAGCCCAGAGACAAATATCATGCTAACACAAAAGTGTTCTAGCATGCATCTAAACATCCATCCATGTTATACCTGTTGAGCACGTTTTATACCTATTTCTATGCCTGTGCTTAAATTGTATTTGTAAAAAACTTTTGAGGTATCTTTTAAGTAATTAACATAAACAATATTTTAAATAGTAATAATGTTTAGGTAACAACAACCACCTTGCTGATGGATTGTGAATTTACACACCTTAAGACCTGGGGTCCCAGGAAATCCGGATGGGCCAGGAGGACCTTGATTGCCCTAAAGTAAAATAACCATGTCAACACGAATAAAACAAGAAGATAGTAGATTTAGAAGTTAGAAAAGTTCATAAAGAGGAAAGATCTTATCATGTACTGTTCAAGATTTTTGTAGCACATTGCATGTTATTATATTCCATATAATTTGACATTGTGTTGTTTTGTTAGTAGTTACAATTTTTTTATTAATTATTAAAATATTATTAATATGAGTGCAACATTTTTGGGTTTCATCTACATGTTCATTTAAAAAAACTGACAATGCATCTAAATTTTTTTGTACTCACAGGGGATCCTGATTTTCCAGGCAATCCATCATTTCCACGTGCACCCTATGAATACATTATAAATATTTTATTAAAATTAATAAAATCAATTTAGCTGACTACACTTTTTTCATCTGGTAAGCAGAGAAAGAAATTTTATCTGAAAATATATGTAGACCTTTTTAACTTCACAACAACATTTGTATATACCCACAAACTGTACATAACTGCCGCTGATATTTGTCTCGCCCTCTGCAGCAAGAGGGCGCTCCTACTCTGTCCTGTCCTTAGTTTCCTGCTTTGCTGTCCTTCCGGTCTCTCTCTTCCCCTGGGCTATATATTTCTAGGTCTTGCACTTTGCTTTTGCTCAGCATTGACGTTTGGATGTCCTGAAACCCGCCTAGCACCAGGTTGCCCCACGTCCACTACCTGAGGGCATAGGTTTCTATGCGGCATTTCCTGAGCAGCTGAGCCCGGGCTTACTCCCATTTTGCCGCTACACATTGGGTCTTTTATGCTCTCCTGCCATTCCATGGTTCGTCCTTCCGGACATCCGTGACAATATTTACTCACATTGCTACTTGATTTTAATCAGTGTATATTCTGTATATACATATTGTGTATTACAAAAGACACATTTCAAGGTTATGGTGTCTTTTAATAAAAGCAGCTGTTATAAATTATGGAAACTCAGATGTTATTTAGCTCTTATTATTTCACAGTTTTGCTGGGAAGCAAAACCATCTAAAAAGACATCAAATACAGTATACAGTGTGTAAATGACTTTACATGTATAAGGTAAATGTATATAATCAGACATTTTTACCCCACACAGTTTTACCTGACACTTGAAATAACTTGGCTTCATGTATATTATATACAGTATATAAAATACTGTTGGCTGTATATACTGTATAGCATAGTGTGCATTAGTTCTGCTTTGTCTCTTACCGGTGTTCCTGGAATCCCAGGGCGCCCCCTCTCTCCTGAAGGTCCTCTTGGGCCCTGTGAAAAAAACAATTTGTAACGGCTACCAAATTACTGTCATAAAAATATGTTTGTTTCAGTTGTAACAAGGCTATGACTTTCATGTGGTAGAATTGAAGTGTTCAGGAAGGTTTAAATAAATGTTGTTCTATTGCCTTGAACTGAAAATAAACCTGGTTCTTATTAGCTCTGATGCATTATTTTCTTAGGAATGCTGGTAATGAGGGCTGCCGATAAACAGATACACTGGGATTCTGACACAAACCAAGAAATCTTAACTTTGGTCATTTAACACCTCCATGATGAATTGTCCATACTAGTGCCTTTTTGTCTACAATTTCAAGAGAGAACCATCCAGACTGGAACCCTGGTAATCTGCCGACAGGGATGCGATGATGCACCAAGAGGGAACCTGCTAGGTGGAAATGAACATCGCACCCCATGATGTCATGACCAATCAGAACTCATGCTGCCTTATCATAAAATATACTGCACAGTAATTGGAAATTGATCCTTTAACTTTGAAACCTTGAAAAGCTAACTTACCACATAACTGTGATAAAAAATAAACTAAATTTTCCCTGTTAACATCAGACTGATAGAAAAACCTATATAACACAAAGTTCATCTCCCAAAGACTTTTCAACAATATGAGACGTTTTTCAACAATACTGGACTTTGACTGGACTGGACTTTTGTCAACACTTTTGAATGTTTCAGAGTAGCATCTTCAAATATGGGCAAGCAGTCTTTAACCTCATTCAAAGCTTGTTCTTGGAAGACATTCCCATGTTTTGAGATTTTGTGTACAAACTACTGGAAAGTGTACCTGGATCTAGCTCCCTCTTTTTCCGTGGAACTTAAAATGAATCTGAACTAAGCTTTGACAGCATCTAATTCAAATGAATACACTTTCAATATTCACTCAAGAATTAATTTCTTCTAAACAATAAATAATTTAGAAGTATTAATTCAGTACAGCAGTACAGTAATATAATTTAATTTTTTTAACTTTATTTTACAGTAATCATGCAATTTAATATTTAGAATATCAGAATGTGGGTTTATAGAGAAACATAATTTGTAAGTTGACTATTAATCTTTATCAGCCTTAAGCCTTTTATTATTCTTTTTCTTTTCTAATCCCTAAATCATTGATCAGCTATTTGTAAATCATAGCAGACTTATTCACATATATATACGGTATGTTCAGCTTTGTATTGGTTACGTTGTAAATGTTATTATTTGTATGAATAAAACTGTATGTTGCTTCCTTGGAATCCAGGAGTCTTGGTATTGGTATTTGTTGTTGGTTCCTGATCGCTAGATCCCATTAAAGTACTGGAATTGTTTTTCCTTGAATCAGACTCTGGTCTGGTCTGGAGCAAGAAAAAAGAGTAATTCAAATATTTATAGGTAAATGTGCTAAAATCAAACTGGAAAATATATTTTTTTATTTTTTTAAATTCCATCTATTTACAGAAGCTTTACCTGAAATTAAAAATATGTATGTAGGCATTGTTGCAGAAGGAGACAGAGGCCAATTGCTGAGCATGTTTTATTTACATTTGAGATTTTCTAATACATACTGTATTTAAAACTCTAACCTTTCTCACAGGTTTTACAGTGTTTCAGATTAATATAAGTATGAAATGTCAAATACAAGTTATTGACTTTTGTTGTTTGCATTTTTGAGTTAAATCTGTCTTAAACCTAAGGCTGTCTCAACTGTCAGTCTTCACATATTATACACTAATATGAAAAAAGGATTGTGTCTTCCATGCTTCCTAAAGCCTTCCATTCCATCTCGGGAGAATCGACACTGGGTGTAAATCTAGTCACAGTCTCCTGGTCTGTATTAATCTTTAAATAACACTCACCATCCCTCCTGGTAAGCCATTACTTCCAGGACTACCATCTTCACCCTGTAAAAAAATAATGGATAAAAAATGTGAATGTCATCACATAATTTTTATAAAACTCCTTTCTAAATTATTTTTTGTAGTTAATAAGTACAGCATTTTATTTGTGTTTTGAATAATATGAATTGTAGGTATTTTAAAATGCTTATTTAAAAAAAATATATTATATGCAGTATATATTGTATCCGATGAGTACAGAATCTAAATATGAATTAAACATAAAATAAACAAAACACAACAACATTAAAGTAATCCATAAGTTAAGAAACGTCCTTAACATTTTTAAAATATTCAGGACACAGAAACCATAATAATAAGGGATGTAAAATTAATCTTAGATACAATAAGTAAAATTATAACCATGCAATTACATAATTATCATTAGAATTATATGGTATGGTAAAGACACATTTTTTGAATGTGAAGGAAACACACATACCTTTTGGCCTGGTAGACCTGAATCTCCCTTGGCTCCATCTCTCCCATTAAACCCCTTAATTGAGTATAAAACACAAGGAAGTAAAAAGGCTAGTGATATTTTAAATAATCTACATACTTTATTTAGCATGTATTTAAATCCTAAGAAAAATAAAGCAAAACGAAAATGTTTATCATCAGTTGTTTGATAAAGTATAGTAGTGAAAACCAGAAATTATCTTTGTTAATTTCCTTTTCATACTGTACATACTGATAACATGTACTCACTCTGTGGCCTTTCATTCCTGGGAAACCGGGCAAGCCAGCTGGTCCCATTATCCCCTGGGAAAATAAAATACCAGAAGGTCATTTTAAATCTAACTATGGGACACTTAAAAACTGATTCTTAATTTCAAAGAATCTAGAAACCAGAGCTGATAAAAACCCGTATGAATTTATTAGAGCAAATAACTGACAGTCATATGTCAAAGTACTGTACACTATATTTAATGTACCTAAAGAACTTAATAAATAAGCATGTTAGTTTATATTCTGCTTGCAATGGTACCAGAAGATTCAGAGGTACAGTGTTCCAGTTCTCTAATTATATATATTAATTGTTGTTGTTTTTTTCTAGATGAAATTTTAGTCAAAATGTATTGTCAAACAACATGTGACAAAAAACATATTGCAAAAACAATAATGCACATTTTTTTAAGAAAAGGTTATTTAGCAAAGTTTCTTGCTTTACAAATGGTGAAGTACTGTATACACCACCTGTCCAGAACATGGTTTAAAAGTGTCTGGGTTCTAAAAGCTTAAGATCACTTATTTTTAAAAGCAGAATTTCATGGCAAACCAGCAAAAGATTATCAAAGATTCAGCCATACCTACTATAAATGAGGTTCCACATTATAAAGCAAGTGGCATTCATTAGACCCAGACTGTGGCTTTTTATAGAGCATTTAGGAAAACTCAGGCCTTCCCAGTTCTACCATATAAATTCCTAAGACCTATTATTTGCAGATTGTATACCAGGAAATGTTTTTATATTTATTATTAAAGCAAGACCTTATCCTTGCCTGAAATTCTCTAGTACTGTAATCAAGCAACATAATGAGACACATGAGGTGATGTCATATTGGAAATATCTGGCAATCACTGACATCATTCACATTCAAGGATTGGGATGTGGGAACTGAGAATAGGGTTAAAAGGGCCTGAGAAAAATAAAGCAATACAAAATGCTCTTTGACAGTCAAGACTAACTAGCAAATACAAGACAGAAAACCCTATAAAAAACAACCACCAAGCCTGCCTGACAAAAATGGATATAAAGGTCTAACAGAAAAATAAATCTATAAAAAAGCATGACATTATTTTGTAAATTACAAGTAAAAAGTTCATGATCTAAACTTTTAGATAGATTTAAATTTATGTAGAAGAAAATAAAACACTTCAGCCTCCGCTTCAGCTTATTGTCTGTTTCATGTTGCAATGACTAGTGAGTTACAGTACATGTACAGTATGCATTACTATAGTTGTAAAAGCAGTCCTTTTTATAAAACCTTCACTTAAACATCTCAAACTAAAAACTGCTTTTGCTGCTTGATATAGAATATATCTGGACTCCTTATCAAGTAAGCTGGACTTTATTATTTTCATTTTCTGCCTAAATATTTATCACTGTTGCTCAAAGCTCAAGCCTCTTCCACGTTATTGGTGTCTGTAATTAGTGTTCTACACAGCCAAAATATTCAACTTAATAACTTTCTCATTGCAAATAACCTTTGTGAATGCCTATCAGGTTTCAGACAATCAAACAGCACAGAAACTTCTCTGGTTCATGTCACTGATTAATCCAGGCTAAAACAGATCTTATAGGTTCTGATTCCAGTTTTCTATCTAGCCTTATTTCTCTAGACCACAGTACTGCTTTTGACAGTGTTAACCATGAAATTTTACTTTCTCGTCTTGAGACTGAGTTAAGAGCTCTGACATTGCTCTTACCTTAACTTCAACTCCAACTCTTATCTTTCTGATCACCAACACTCTGTCTCTGTTGGGGGTTTTAGTTCTAAAGTTGGGGTAATTAAATCTGGTGTTCCTCAGGGCTCAGTACTGGCCCCCCTTTCATTCAGCATTTACATGTTATCAGCAATTCAGTTAACATGGTCTAATTTATTATATCTATGCCGATGACACTCAAATCATTGTCAATAAAAAACTGACACTTACTGTAAGTGTCTCTCTCTGAACCCTCTAATTGTATCTCTGACATACTGTAGAAACCTGAATGACTCAAAATGTCCGTCATTTAAACTGCGACAAGACTGGTCATGTTTCTCAGCACATCCTATCAACTTGGGAAGCTAATGCAGTAACCCTATGTCTGGATGGCACTGTACTTAAATTTCAATCTAAATCTAAAGAATTTGAGGGTGATATTTTATCAAGAGCTTCATTCTTCCATCTCAAAAATATTGCTGGACTACATCCTACTGTATGTTGTCTCTGACTGCAGCTGAAAGGCTGGTCAATGTATTTGTCTTCTCTAGAATCGATTACTGCAGTGCCCTACGTGCTGGGGTATCTACATGTACAGTAAATCCACACTGAATAAACATCAGTACGTCCAGCATTAGGCATCCAGAATCCTGACCAGGTCACGTGCAAGTGATCACTTTTCCTGTCCGGGAGTCCTTGCACTGGCTTCCAAAATTCAAACATTTCAAAATAGGGATTCAAAATCCACATGTTCATCTCTAAGGATCTATATGGCTTGGTACCTCAGGACCTATCTGATTTATTATCTTATTACTTTCTACCTTGCAACCTTTATTCATATGACTCTGGTCTCCTATTTGTCCCCCAGGCTTGTCTACATACTCTTTGTGACAGAGCATTCTCTTTCTATGCCCCAAACGATATCAGAGAATCACCTTCCCTGAGTGCTATCAAATCCAAACAAATCAAAATCTTCTTCTTTGCATCTTCTACAATACTTTAAACTCTTTTATGTCTTATCATTGTCTCTTTTTACAGTAAAACACTTTGATAAGCTACATTAGAAAGACCATATATACAATTATGTTTATTATTATAATTTCTATTTTTATAAAACATTACCGGTGGTCCAGGAGGTCCACGATCCCCTGGCCTACCAGGTCTTCCAGATTCACCCTAAGCAGAAAAAAATACATATATATTACAGACATATCAACTTTCTAAACTGTTTTATCCAGTAAAAGGTCAAGGAAACCTTGAGCCTAAACTGTCAAGCAATGGGCACAATGTGGGATACACCCCAGGCAGCATACTAGACCACTCACGGCACACACACGGGGCACACACTGACACCAACACTCATACACTCATACAAGGGCCAATTTTCTCCAAAGTCAAATAATCTAATAGTATGTCTTTGGTCTGTGGGAGGAAACTGGAGCCTTATAGACATACTGTACTGTATGTAAGTAAAAAACTCTAATTTCATAGCATGCTACAAACATTCATTACACTTATGGCTTCAGTTTTCCCTTTAGGAAAATTGAAACATAACAATGTATCTAAACAAAGAGGTTATTTTTTTTGGTTTCATTACTTTGGAGTGACTGAAAATCGATTATCATTTTTGCACGGATGGAATGCCACAAATTTTAAAACTTTTAAAACTAAATAATGCTAGCAAACAGCAGTTTGTCTCGATGTTTTACATAACTGTACCACAATAACTTGTGAAATATATCTAAATGATTTGCATCAATATTCCAAAACTCAGGTTTGTCTTTCATCTTCATTCACACAGTGTTTTGGTACTCACATCTTTACCAGGTAAGCCATTCAGTCCCCTCTCCCCAGAAGGTCCACGTGATCCCTGTAAAAGTCATATTTTCAAAGTCAGCCCATAAAAGAAAAAAAATAGAAAAATATCATATTTTTTTTCCATTTTTACAAATTGGCAATATACAAAATTTTAGACAAGACCCAAAATCATTTCATGCATTCCATCCCTTTCTAACTACTGTATATCATCCAATCCATGGTCAAGGAGGAACTAGAGCCTATCCCTACAAGCAATGGGAGTGAGGCAGGATACGCTCTGGATGGGATGCCATACAATGCAGGGCAGACACACACAGTCACGTATGCTCACAATAGGATCATATTCCTGCTGGGTACACCTGGCAAAAACACATATGAACATACTGTAGGGAAAACATACTGTACAATCTACACCCAGGTAGTACCCCAGGTCCAGAATCAAACCCAGACCCTCCAGAGCTTTGAGGCAACAATGATAACCAGTTGTGGCACTACACGCGAGGGGTGTGTTCAGTGTGGAGACGGAACCCTGGGAGAAGGGCGAAGCCTGGACTTTGTAATCACAGCAGAATGCACTTATCAAAGGTGAGCTACAGCTATGAGGGCTCTTTAAAGGGACACTGAGCACCCCCTGTAGAGGATGAGCAGGGATATCCCTGGAAGAGGAGCATCAGTACACTGGCAGTCCCGTTTACACCGTTTTTCTTCTTTTGTTTTTAGCCTGTCCTGTTCTGTGTCTATACCTTTTATCTTGTTTAGATTGTATCTTGGCCATGCACTCCCTGCCAGCTGTCGCAAACGACCCCCCAAAACTGGGCAAGTGCAGTCTGGCTCCACCACCAAGCGGGTGCTTTTTCTACACTACAGCGCATTTTCTAATTTTCTTTTTTGTTTTCTTTTCTTTCGGTTCTCACTAACCTCACACCAGTGCCTCCATCCCCTCAGATGGAGCGTCGACTTATACTGGTGATGACCGTGGCTCCTCCCACTGTCGCACTGCTACACACTGCACTACCGTGCCATCCATTACATACTCTACTGTACATGCATCCTTTTTAAATATTTTATAAAGATGTCTCCCCGAAACTTAATTCATTAGTGTTAAGTGGTGCTAATCCTCTTTTTTAATTGGAAAAAAAATTGGGCTGTCTAAGCTGGTTACCTAGTGTTATTATTAATACAATTAAATGGAAATTGGTTTGAATTCTAATTAAAGATAAAGTTTCTTTTGAAAAAGTATCTGGACCTGACCAAACAAACCTGACCTGTGCTACATGAGAAGTCATGCCTATCTGACCTATTAATATCTATCATTGTGCAATAATAGCGTCATTGTTCAAATTCAAAATAGCCTTTAAATTGGGTACCAGCATGTGCTTAGAAAAACATTCCTTTCTGTCTACACCATGTACTCTTCATCAACTGAATGAATTGTCCTTGAATTCATTTTTCTTAAAAAGTGCAGTCCTACTGTATGTCACTGTATGTTTAATACCTTTCAATAAGTTATAATTTGAAAATGTTCCTGTCATCCTAAAATATAAAAAATAAGGGAACTTACAGGTGAACCCTGAGTTCCAGCTTCCCCTGGGTGTCCTTGGTGTCCAGGATGTCCCTAGTGAGACAACACAATTAGAAACATAATTTTAATAATATGATTACAGTACTGATTAGTATTTTCATTTATGACATTTACAGTATGAGGAGTTCATTAGCTTTTGTGTTTAGTGTTTGTTTTGGAATTGGCATCTTAATATTAGCACTTTAAGAAGCTTGCTGGTTTGTACTGTATAAAATCTACTGCACTTCTCTATTTGGACTGTCAGTTTTAAGTCATATCTTTTTTTTTGATAAGCTGTCTGCTTCCTCATTGTTTTACCGATTTCTCTTTTAAAATCCCATTGACTTCAAAAAACATTCAGAATTTGATTTTAATATCAGATGGCAGGATTTGCAATTTATAAAAGAAAACTATTAATGAAACTTTATGTTCATGGTAGATAGGGAATTCCAATTTATTTTCTTTTTTATTTCTGTTTTGTCAGATTCCTAACAGCTGAGTTTTGTATTTTGAGATGAAACTATTATTTCCAGTGATTGTAATTTCGCTTCTTGAACTTTTGTGTTAAAATGCATAGCCCAACCCAGAGACCAAAGAGGTGGAGACACTGTCCCTGTCATATGTCAGGGTAAACCAGAATGTAGTCACATTATGAAACAATGAGATAAACTGATTCTCAGCTTACTGGTGAACCAGGTCTCCCAGCTGCACCAGGTGGACCAGGGGGACCAGGAGGGCCCTAAAATCAAATGGAGAATAATCAGTAATGTACTGTATATAATAAGAATATGCATTATTAAATTAAAATATACTGTATATGTATATCTTTAAAAGTTATCTTACAGGAAGTCCATAACTAGTTCCACCATCTTTTCCACTTCCAGGTTTATATTGAGGCTTTAAAAACAAGAATAAAAACAGAAGATCATACATTTTTTCCACACACACAAAAGTGTCAATGTGTCATTGTCAGTCTAATGATTTGTGTAGTATATGCACATCTTCAGATTATGAAATGTGGAGAAAAAAATCAAGATTGCGTCATTTGTTTATTTGATATCTTTCATTAACAGCTGAATGACCAGCTGTAACATAAAGTACATGATATGTGCTCTTGTTAAAACATGTAATATTACAGTTAAAAGAAAACAATTAGGTTTTCATTAAACAAACAATAAGTAGTCATTCTATATAACAGTATGTAACAGTTCTAACAAAGAACCACATTTTTTAATCTTAACATTTTACAGTATAATGCAGTCTAACCTCAGCTAACACCATTTATAGTCGAATTGAGGATACTCATAAAGAGGTTTTTTATAATTATAAGTATTAAGTCTGTGGAGATTCTTTTTCAAATGTATTATTAAATGAAAATTAATCCATTTAATTTTAAATTTGTGGTTGGTTTCATAAAACATGGCACAGTATTTTTGGATGGCTTTCTGAAAGGTGTTTGGACTAAGATTACCTGAAGTTTAAAATCTTTACTGATGGTGAAATTGAACTACAGCTGTACATATTGAATTGAACTACAGTATATTTAATTTCTACCAGTTCAGTTTATTTTTCAAACTGAGTATAATGTAGTACAATGCAAACTGTACATATGCTGAAAGGTATTTTTAAAATATTTCTATATATATATAAAGCTATCACCAATATATTTGTATTTTCTATTAGGGTTTGACTCAAAGGCATAAGAAACAATCTATATCTATTGTGGTGTATGTTTATTTGCAAAGAACACAGTATAAGGAAATGGTGGGGAGACTAGAGTTGTGAGGGTATGAAATGTGTGCATGGAAAGCTTACAAACAGAAGGTGGTCATTTGTCCATTCTGGGCAATTTATATTAGACCTCCCTATTACTTAATTCTTTTATCTTAGATAACAGTAAAATGTGGTGATTGTTAGGAAGTACAATTAAGAAAAAAATAGGGATGAGACAGAGTAGTTAGGCTGAATTTTTTTTTAAATTATGATCCTGCCAGGCCTCTACTAATTATTCTTGAGGAGCTAATTATTCTTCAGTTAAGAATTACAAGCACTGTTCTAAAATGATCGCACTGTATAGTGTCATCACCATCTAAATACATTTACATTGATATTATTCTTGCTATCTTTTTAATTTTTAAAATGCATTATTAGAAACAGTTTCACCACAATTATTTCACCAATAACAATTTTAAATTAGTCCTTACTTCACCAGGAATTCCGCAGTTTTGACAAACTCCTGGTGGTCCAGGACGGCCAGGAATGCCAGGTTCACCATTAATTCCAGGAATTCCAGGTAATCCCTGGGAAATAAGAGTTCTGTTTATTGCTTAGCTGTAAAGTGCAGAGTGAATTAATGCTATTATTGTTATCTTTACTGGTCTACTCAAGCAATCTCCATCTATGACAATGTAAAAAATGAACATGAAAATGAAAACACCAATAAATTGTGGTTTAAAACAAAACTCAATTCAATACACAATGTTCACAAAATTGAGAATGATCCCTCAAAATCAGAAAGACCAGCATGTTCAGTATTAAAAGCTATAAACACAGCAATAAACTTTACATATTATAAAGTAGCTGTTTTTCTGCGCCTTACCCTTTCACCCTTTTGTCCCTTTTCTCCATTTCTGGTGGGAGGGCCCTTGAAAAGAAATAGTGAATGTAAGTTAATTAAGTTCAAGTTAAATGTTTTTTGCCATTTGCAACAACTACAGTGCACTCTCTTCATCTATTCATTCAGATAGATGAAGACAACAATAACAGTATTATTCAGTATACAATATGATGTAACATAAAGTTTACAATACTGTAATGGACACGGACTGGAATCCGTGTCGGATCTTGTAGAAGACCCTATGCGATGCGGTAAGAGCTGGAGAAAACAGGAGGCGTGGTAAAAAGGAACACACAAGGGTTTAATAGTGCACAAAATAATAGTGACCGTCCGTGAGACAGTGTACGGGGAAGACAAAACAGCATCCAAATCCAAACGGGTCCAAGGGCAGGTCAAAGCACGGTCCGAAAGTCCATAAACTGGGAATCCATCCTGGAACGCGACAAAGTTAAAATCCCGGGAAGGGGGGAGCACACAGACAAACGAAACATGGAGGTCCAAGGGTGACGGGGCGAGATCCTCCAGACCCCGGGCTCAGGAAACGGGAGGTGTCGGGGATGAGGCCTATGCCCTCAGGAGTCGGACGTAGGGTTTCCTGGTGCTAGGCGGGCCTCGTGACATCTTTCCCTAATGATGAGCCCCGAGGACTGGAGGAGCTGGTCTTTAAATAATAACACTAAAAGGGTACACCTGGAGAGCTAAATGACATGAACAATAATGAGAGCAGTGGAGCGCCCTCTAGGGAGGGATGTCAGGCGTGACAAATACAACATACAGTATAAAAATAATAAATAATTTACAACATAAAAGAGTGAATAATGTTGTGATGAATGCAGTGCAACATATAACATTTAACAGTCTGTAGTAATGGAAACTAGTCAGTGAGTTTGCATTTAGCTATTAGCTGTTATTCATGACGCATATCACTTGGGGATAAAAACTTTTTCTCAACTGTCACGATCGTAAACCTTCCTCTTAAGGGCGCTCCAGCCCTTCTTTGTTTGTATCTCATCTCCCACACCTGCTCCGTTCCAGCCCCTTTTCAGTTCCCCCTTAAAACCCAGACGCTGACGTTATACCAGGCACTGCTCTGGTTCCGGTACCAGGCGAGTCCGGGACCTGGAACACACCTGGCCTCATTAAGGTTTTAGTTCCCGTTCCTGTGCCGGTTCCGACCCGGTTCTTGGTTTTAAATCTTGTTTGTTTTGGATGGACCACCCAGTTTGGACTTTTGCCTCCGCTTGGATTCCCCCTTGGACTTTCTTCTGGATTGTTTGCCTTGGCCACAGCTCCCCCGACCACCAGCACACCATGGACACGCCCCCCCTGTTTTCATTCCCATCTCCTGCATTCCTTTTTTCCCTGTGTTTCCTCCCACTACCCTGGATTGTGTCGTCTTCTTAGGGTCCGGAAAGAACTCTCCCTGACATCAACCTGGTGGTCTGTATGTCGATTAATATGTTTTTTCCTGTGTAGAGTTCTAACTAAGTTAAAATAATTAAAATATTGCAACTTTGAAATCTTTTAAAAATACTGTACAACAGTGGTTCTGCTTGCTGCAGTCATGATGCGGTTATTGAGATATTTATAGAACATCTGTTCTTTTTCACTCTACTTCAGGAGTAATTTTCATACTGTATGTGTATGGTTATGTTGTAGTATAACAAAGCAACTGCCTACACCACAAAAAGTACAAAGAGAAAGCTTTTTAAATAAAAGGTGCCATGTCTTAGAATAATTGGTTACAATGACAATTCTATATGCAATATATTGTGCTATCTGGTTTCAGCATTGGTCCTTTTAAATTAATAGATATATTTTATAAGACCTAATTTGGTAGAGATAATGCATTTCACTTAGCAACATTTCCAGCATTCTCAGATGAAAACATTGCATTCTAAAAGATGACCACTTTGTTTTGGTCCAAGGGCAGACAGTATAAGGAATTCCAAATGTGCTGTATTGTTCTCCCATACAGGACATCAGGTTGCATGCCAGTGAAGCCTAGATGCAACAGAACACTACAAAAGTGACAAACAAAGGTGCATTAATGTATGGGCACTGCTTGATCAGTAATGCTAGTGTCTGATTGGCCATTTCACTGTTACCATCAGCTATTCTGAGGGAAATTGTGTTTTGGTTAAAGTCAATTGTGAGTGAATTTAGGACAGGGCTGAAGAGGAAGTACATTTTAGTGTAAGAGATTTGAGAAGCTTTTCCCTTTTATAACCTTATCTGCTAAAACATGTAGTTTAAATTTTTAAAGCTAGTTTAAAGTTTGGAAAGGCTGGAAAACAAAGGCCTAACCAGACAACGTATTAGATAGCCTGAGAGTTTAGGGCTCCAAAGATTGAGCTTGGTTCTGTTCCTGTTTGGGCCTGATAATCAGCTGAAACTTAGCAGATGCTGAAAGTGTGTATACAGTTGAAATTACACTTTAGGAGGAAACTTTACAGTTACGCATCTGCCTTATAAGGAGTGTGCACCTAAAAGTTACTGGAGGGACTTACAGTAGCATCTCAGTTGGAAGCCATAAATAACTCTTAAGGAAAATATGCTTATTTTCTTCTTCTCAACACTGGGTGTAGGAGGGTGGCAAGCTCAAATAAGATTGCACATTCCCTGAGAAGGAGGTGTGGAATGACAAAATGACAATTTGTCATCCGATTAGCTTGAGGAAGATGATGGGTCACCTTACAATTTAAAAGTCAGGAAGCAGATGCTTCCACAGTTCCACATCATATAAAGCTACTTACTGTATACTGTATGTGCTATGTCAGTGGAGAATTAGCCCAAATGAGGACCAATGATTAAAAGTAATACAGATCCAAGTCGTTATGAGGATTAAAACAACAAGGTGTACGGCATTACTTTGATGAAAGTAGTGTGGGTGGTTATATTGTAAATGGTCATGACTTGATTGAAATATCACTGCACAGCACTACTGTATGTTGACAATATTCTGAGATCCATAGTCCATTTGTTTTCCAAGAAAACTAACAATCCCTTTTGCTACTGCTTCATATATTGTACATCTGTATTTTATGGACATCTTAAAGAGCAAGCAGTAGATGGTGCAGTAAATTGTTTTCAATTCAATATTTAAAGCTTGAAACCAATTTGCAGATCCAGTATTTATGTAATAACAAACTAATTCAGGTGGGTAGCTGCATCAGCATGCATAGGCTGCAAAGGAACAAGTAAAGGTTAATTCCATGCTGAATAGAGAAGAAAGGAAACACAATGTTTCCGCTGTGGAGTCGTAACAAAATGATGCCTTTTAAACATTGTAAGTAAAATATGTTATATAAGAAGTACATATACAGTTTGACTGATATGATGTCAGTGACAATGATGTCAAAGTAAAAAATCATTAATAAACTTTTACAGATGTAACAAAAAAAAGATAAAACAATTTTGATTTTACTTACTGGTGTGGGATTATTTATACAAATGGGACAGCATTCTCCAAAAGGAATTTCAGAATTTTCACAATCTCCTATTTCGTCACAGAATATTTCATCACATGTGACTATCCCAGTGTCACACACGCAGATCTGACAGGCCTCTGGTTTCCAAACATCTTTGTCAGCATGCATCTGGCCATTGTGTTCACAGGTTCCTAAAACAACTGCAGAAAAAATAATTTGCATTATCAGAAAACTACTTTGTGAACAGTAAATCATGTGACATAACCTGTATGCACAACATGCAAAAATATTTACCATGTTTAGTGTTTGGAAGCCAGTTTGAAACCAATGCTATAACATTTCACAATATAAGAGACTGAAATGTTGTGAAATGTTATATGAAATGCAATGTGACTGAAATGTTGTCATTGTCCCTGTAGAATAAATATATGAGGTCTTTTCACAGTGCATGGAGCTTTTTGCTGTCTTAATACATTTCAGTTTTAGTTTTAATAGTTTTTTAAATAAACTTTATAGCCATTCCATTTCACATTTTTAAATCAAAATGTAAATTGTGTATATAGAATATATTTAATTCTAAGCATACGAAAGCTCATTCTACAAAAGAATACGAATCTACAGTAAAATCATCACCATCTCACTTTCTTAAACACTTCTATCTTCTACTAGAAAATATATTCAGCATAAAATTCAAAAACAAAATTGCATGAGTGAGTTGAAAAGCAATAGTGTATAACCATCCACTCCAAATCAATACTCATAGCTCAATAACAATTATAAAAAGACCATCAAACCTCCTACCATATCATAATAACAGTAAAGCTAAAATAATATACAATTTCTGCAAGCTAACTGGGTAAATCAAACTTTAAACAGATTAAAAGATTTACATATGTGTACAGCAAGACTACGCCATATGCTATCATTAACTGTGGCTGAAAAGCTGATCAACATATTTGTATTCTCTCGAATTGACTATTGCAATTCTCTACTCACTGGGGTTTCTAAATCTACTCTGAACAAACTGCAGTATGTCCAAAATTCAGCAGCCAGAATCTTGACCAGGTCTAGTGCAAGTGTTCACATTACTCCTATCCTGGAGTCCTTGCACTGGCTCCCAGTCAAATTCCGCATAGACTTTAAAATCCTTATCCTCATGCTCATAAGGCTCTACATGGCTTGGCACCTCAATACCTGTCTGAACTATTATCGCCCTACTCCCCACCTCGCAACCTCCGCTCTTTAAATTCTGCCCTCCTTGCTGTCCCCCAAGCCAGTCTGCATTGTATAGATAGATAGATAATACTTTATTAATCCCGTAGGGAAATTGATGTGTTACAGCAGTCCAACCATGGGACAGTACAGCCATGTCATCCAGTATGGGCGACAGGGCCTTCTCCTGCTATGCCCCCAAGCTCTGTAACTTTGCCCATGGATATCAGAGAGTCACCTTCTCTAAACTCCTTCAAATCCAGACTCAAAACCTTCTTCTTCAGAAAAGCCTTTACTTAACTGGTTCCATTCTTCACCCCTCTGCTCTTCTTAGTACCACCTTCCACGGTCTCCTCTATTGTCATTGTTGTATTGCTGTAATTGTAATTGTGTCTTATCTTGTGTATTCTTCTAATTTATTGTTGTACTCTTCTTATTTATTGTTATTGTCATCCTGTAAAGCGCTTGAGAAGCCACCTTTAAAGGCGCTATATAAAATAAAGTTTATTATTATTATTACAGTAGCTTCTCCCCTGAACATACTCCTACAAAAGCCCAGATCATCTCTTCAGCTCTGTCCACCACCATTTAATACAGGTGTTCCCAACCTTAGTCTTTGAGGACTACCTGTTCCTCTTAATTGAATACTAATTTATTGCGTATTCTAGCTGACTGGAAGGAATCTAAAACACAGAGATCTGTTCAGTAAAACAATATCACTAAGAACATGCACAGTAGGTCACCACTGACCAAGGCTGCCGCATCCAAACCAAGCTAGACATTTTTGAGCTAGCCAAGTCCAAGTCCAGAAAAGTCCCAGAGAACTAAAATACTAAGCAACTGTAAGGAATTCAATAGATATTTGTTAAAATATGATAAAATGGACAGATGTGATTGTGGAATTTACAATAAGAAAATGCATTAATCAAAATGGCTCTCCACAGAAATGAATCAGAGATGCACAGCAGCATCTGGCCTAACAGCTGAGTAAGGACTGCCACCATGATTATGAAGTGTACTAAACCCCACCCCCTTTTCTACAGGAAGGTACAGCAATTCTTTTTGACATGAAATATATTAACCATTTTAATAATAATTACTAAGAATAATTAATTTGTGCACAGTATACAGTGAATAACTGAACCTCTGATGAAGACAACTACAATTTGGGGAGTTTTTTAAATGCCATGATGTAATTTGTTATTGATACCTGTATTCTAACATCATTAACATGTCTCACTTCAAGAGATGTTTAGACAAAACTAAGGCAGCAACCACTTCATAAGAAAGTGGTAAGTAAATGGATGGAACTCGGCTTGCCATATATCATTACAAAAACACACAATCAATGGAGTATTTTGGAAAAGAAAGAGTTCAGAAAACGTTAAAAGCTGTAATCTACAGAAATAGTTTTACTGCAGCCTTTTCATTAACTTTTTTTCCTTTTAATTTGTTTTAGCTCCAGTACTGAATTGGATTGTAACACAGTTTTTGAAAATTATCATATTACAATAGATCAATTAGCCTCAGTAATTAAGAATTCTGTTAACAAGATTGAAATCAACTGTCATACACACTATATTATAATTCATGATATATTCCACTTTTTTCTATGTATTTTATCAAAGTGGTTTCTAATTGTGGGAAACAGGGGACGTAGGATTTCCATACTCTGTACTGTCATAATAGTAACCTCTGCTTTTTCCTTGGTTATCGTTAGCATTACTTTATATAGTATTTGCTTTACACATAGATCGTTAGCGCCCTCTGCTGGAAAAATACTTTTTACCACATAAAATTAAATTCTCTGTACAGAAATAAAAAATAATTAACATTTATTTCATATTTTATTCTTTCTTGATGTTTTTAATTTTAATATTTGGTACAAAACATTGTATAGCCGTTCCTGAAAAAACTATGAAAATGTTTTTTAACAATAATGTAATCAAATTCACTATTTCAGTTGAAGTTCTGTGCTTTGAAACTTGTGGCCAAAGCCACCATGATAGGCAATGCATAATACACATTCTTGTTGTTGCCTGTTTGTTATCTCATCTCTGACCCTCTTCCATAGATGTACATCTTATATTTATGCTGGTAGAAATGAGATGGCATAAGAACACCAGCCAAACAAGCTAATTAATTTGAACACCTATTGTTTTACTCTCTAATTTAGATGTTTTTTTAACGTTAGTCAGGCTGTACTATTTAGGTGTGTTTTATGTTAGTCAGGCTGTATCTAAGCTTATGGTCACATTAAAAATCAAAACTCTCTCCAAAAGGCTGTCTTCTTGAAAATCGTACTTAATTCTACATATGATATTGTTTTACAGATATATCTTCTTATGATTCAACTGCATCTCCTGTTTTTACAAAGCACAAGTTTTATTGTTATATCAGTCATATCGTATTTTTCTCACTACTACACTCATCCATATGAGAAATATGCTATTAAATTCTGTTTATGTCAAGAGAAACAAAACATGCTAATATAAAGTGCATAATCAAAATTAATGTGCTGGAAAAGATATCTCAACTGTCTGTGTCTGATATAAAGAATTGTTTTTGTATATTAATTGCAGTCCTTCACTTGTTGATATAATTCATGTGCTTAGCCTGTTGTAATAAAGTTGAAGGGTTACAAATGTGAGATGACCACTTTTTACTTTGTAAATCCAACAATCTTATCCACCTCTATCTTGAAAGAAGCCAGGGTTTCAGCTTCACCAACATAGCTGGATTGCTTGATACAGACTCCCACAATGTTTTGTGTTAAAAAGTGCCTCCTGTTCTTAGATTTAAATGCCTGTCCACAGTTTCCTGTTGTTTCTGGTTCATGTTTTACTGATAATACTGCAGTTATATTAGGTTGACAGTGCCTTTGAGAATTTGAATACTTAAATCAGTTCCCTTCATAGTGTTCTCTGTTTGAAACAAAAACATTTGAGCCCTTTTAGACTAAAAGAATGTGTCCTGTTCCTCTCCCTTGAGCTGATTCCTAAGCAGCAATATATTTTTTGTGATGTGACTACCAAAATTTGTACACAGTATTTTAAATTAGGTCAGACAACTGCATTGTACATGTACATTTTCACATAACATCTCTTGATTTAAATTATGTGGTTTCAACTACACATTCCAACATATCAATGAAATATCAGATACCTAGCACATTAAAGCTAAATGTACTATATTTAATATTCAAAGAACCATCAGTTTAATATCATGATACAGTATATCACTGTTGCAAGGACTACAATTACAATTGAATGAGCAGCAAACATTAATAAGGTTATCATGGATAGTAGTGCCTCCATGGGCCTTAGGCATACTGTGTGTTAGACAGAAAGCAAGGAATCCCAGATAACATACAGAGCATTTAAACAGATGTGCAGAACGACAAAGGTCAAACCCATCCTCCAGAGAGCCCATGTAGGGGTGCACCTGTAGGGGGTAACACAAGGAGTGTGTGGTGGGAGCTTTTGGTTTCAATTCAATATGTACTTATCTGCCACAGAAATATTTGTTCATATTTTTCCTACACTTAGTATCCTTAATGTATTATTGTACCAGAAGGAGGCGCTATACTTAAGGGAATAACTACAGTCCTGCAGTGAGAAACTGTGGATTTTGGAATTATTTAATATTACTACTGGGGACAGTGATCAGCCTATTTCAGATATATAATTTGATAAATGTAGTAGCTTTTTATGGATTGTAAGAACAAAACACTTACTGTAGGTGTATCTTAACATAAGATCAAACAAGATGTCAGGATATACTGTATTTAGTATAGATGTACTTCTTGATGCCAGGTATGTATCTTAGATAATACGCATAGTATTTAATGTTTTTTTAAAACTTAAATTGTTAGATGTTGTTGCACTAGAGTTTTAAATTACTTATTGGAGTTTTAGAACCTGGAATTTACAATGCTTGTTTAAAGAAATCTATTACCGCACACACAACTAATTGTTTAAGCAGTTAA